TCTGTATCTACCAAAAATATCGTTTAAAAAGTTAAAATGAAACAAAGACATTTGCAGACATATTTTCAGACCTAGGCTATATAAGAAATGCTTCAGGTAGAAGGGGGAAAATGACACTTGGCTATCTAAATTTGAATCTAAAAGAGAGGGGAGGAAGAAAGAGAAGAGTACCAGAAATGGAAAATATGAGAGTAGATTTAAACATTTTTTAAAAATTAAAGTAACATTGAAAGAGAATTAATGCTTTGGGAAAGTAAATTTATTGAAATAAATGCATGATGGCAATCAGGTAAAGGTTAAAAACTGAGTACATAGACATACAACTTAAGAGTCTGATGTCATTCTGTAACCAGTGCAATTGAAAGCTAATCTGTAATAAGTTAAAGATTATGTACCTTTGTATTAATTTCCTTTATGTGCTTAAAAAAAAAAAGCCACAAATTTGGTGGTGTAAAACAATAAAAATTTATTCTCTCACTTTCCTGGAATTCAGAAGTCTGCCATCTATTGCTGAACCAAAATCAACCTTTTAGTACCATTGTGCTTGTTCCAGAGTCTCAAGGGGAGAACTCATTCCCCGCCTTTTCCACCATCTGGTGACTGCCAGCATTCCTTGGCTTGTTGCCTTACCACTCCAATATGTGTTTCTATGGTTACATTGCCTTGTCTGGTCTCATGTCAGATTTTCCTCTGCTTTCCTCCTATAAGGACATTTATTACACTTAGGCTCCATCTGTGTAATTCAGGATAATTTCCTCAGTCTCATAATTCTTAGCTTTATACAGTGACATGCGCTCTTATTTGCCATAGAAGATAATATTCATAGGTTTTGGAGATTAGGATGTGGATATCTTATGGGGGAAGAGAGAGATTATTGTCCTACCACAACAGAGAACTATAAAGTAACAGATATACAGCTAACATGGCAAGAAAGAAGATAAAATGGGATTATAAAACAAATAGATTAAATTTATGTTAACCCACTTAAAAGATGGAGATTGGCTCTTTTTTTGTCTGGAAACTTGGAAGGTATCAAAAAGAAGATTCCTGGGCTGGGATGTAGCTCAGTGGCAAAGTGTCTGCCTTGCATTCTCAAAGCCCTGGGTTTGATCTCCAGTTCCAAAAATGATGGAGGGAAAAAAAAAAAAAACCCACCAAAAAGAAGATTCCTGCTATGCCAGAAACCCCTAAGAAAAGTGAAGGTATTTGGCAGAACTGTAGGTAAAAATCATCTGAGAAAAAGTTTGCCCGAAATATGCTTTGAAAGGCAAGGAGGAAGCTTATCTATGAAGAAGCTAAGCGCTGTCATAAGGAATACAGACAGACATACAGAACTCAGATTTCAATGGCCAGGATGGCATGAAAAGCTGGCAATTTCTATTACCTGAAGACCCATAATAGCATTTGTCATCCAGATCAGAGTTATCTATGGGGTGTACCCAAAAGGTCCATAAGATATTGTACTTTCTTTGCGTTTACTGGATCTTTAATGGCATCTTTCTTAAGCTCAACAGTGGTTTAATTAACATGCTGAGGATTGGGCACACCCATATTTTGTATGGGAGTAATTGAACCTGAAGTTGGTAAATGAATTATAAGTGTGATGATGGCAAAATTAAGAAGTGAATTAACTTGACAGATAAATCGTTTGTAAATATGGCATCATCTGCATGGAGAATCTGATTCATGAGAGATATACTATTGAAAAACATTTCAAAGAAGCAAGTAACTCCCTATGGCCCTTCAAATTATTTTCTCCATGAAATGGAATGAAGTAAAAGACCATTCATTTTGTGAAGATGGAGATAGCTTGGCTAAAAAATGCAAGATTGAAGTAGGTGCGGTCCACCAGAAATTCATTTTAAATATAAAGAGGGTTGGAGATAAATTTAGTTCATAGGTAGAGGGCTTGACTATTATGAGCAAGCCCTTGGGCTTGATTTCCAGTACCCACACCTGGTATAAATGGCATATCATTTAAAACCTTCCTAAAGGCTCTTTCTTTGGGTATTGGGTATTGAACCCCACGCATGCTCTACCACTGAGCTACGTGCCTAGACCTGTTTATTTTTTATTTTGAGACAGGGTCTCACTAAGTTGTTGAGATTGGCCTCAAACTTGCTATCCTTCTGCCTGAACTTCCTGGGTTTCTGGAATTATGGGCATACACCCACTGGACCTAGCCAGATTATTTTTAAGAGCATGTATTTACCAAGATATTACATATTCAGGATCATGAAACATGTCTGAATGAACTCAGAATGATTTAAAGTATGTTTTCTCACCAAAATGGAATTTAGATACTAAACAGATATTTTAAAATATCAAAATATTTGAAAGCTAAATAACATACTTCTCCATAACTTCTGGATCAAAAAGGAAACCACAAAAAAGTGGTTTTAAAAGTGTTTAAAAGTGTTTCTGACTGAATCAGAAGGTTCAAGAGTATTATATTTCCCAGAGGAAAAAGGAAAAGAAAAGTAGGAGACATAGCATGTAAAGCAAAGGGAGAGCAGGAGACTAGAGGAAAGGGAACAGTGAGTGGGAGGAGCCGGGAAGTGCTGGGGAAGGTTTTGGGCAAAATTATATTATACAACTATAATGCACCAGTAAAAAAGAATGTATTTTCATTTTCATTCTGACTGAATGAAAATGAAAATACATTATACCAGAATTTGTAGTATGTTGCTAAAGTAGTAGGTGGATAGACATTTATAGTGCTAAATGTCTATAAATTAAAATCAGAAAGGTCTCAAATCAATAACCTCTACTTCTGTGTTGTAGGTTAGAAAAAAGAAAAATGCAATGTAAGGAAAAAAAAAAGATCAAAGCGGAATCCAGTGAAACAAAAAAAAAAAAAAAAGCAATAGAGAATCACTGAAAACAATTTGAAAGCTAACGCTATGTAGTTTTAAGAATTGTAATAAGGGCTGGGGATGTGGCTTAAGCGGTAGCGCGCTCGCCTGGCATGTGTGCGGCCCAGGTTCGATCCTCAGCACCACATATAAACAAAGATGTTGTGTCCGCCGAAAACTAAAAAATAAATATTAAAATTCTCTCTCTGACTCTCTCTCTCTTAAAAAAAAAAGAATTATAATAAAGTACAGTAATCAGAACATTATGGTATTAGCATGAGAATAGGCAAAACTGATCAGTGGAATATAATAGTGTCTTGGAATAAATCCACACATAGAGCCAACTGATTTTTTTGAAATATACAAAGGCAATTCCATGGCGAAAGGATAATAATGTTTAAATATTTCAGAACCCCTGTACACACACCCCTACACACACAATGAACTTGGAGCCACTCATCCTGTATATAACGATTAACTCAAAGTTGACCATAATTTAAATGCTAAAGTTGTTTAGTTTGATGCTGATAGATTCAACCTAGGGACTCTCCCACTTAAATAAAATTTCCAACCCTACTTTAGGAATTTAAAGTTCACAATGTCTTACACATGGTAGTAATCTTACTATTGTTGATAATAGTATTGAAGATTCTATGTTTTAAAAAGATTGGAATTTGTGCATTTATTAGATATTATCTAAATACCTTCCTAGTACTATTCTATTCTTTTGAAAATGGATATAATTTGTTTTTCACTTAACATTTTAGTAACCTTAGAAAAGGATTCGGAATGCTTTTTCATTAAATATTGAAATGCCATTTAATTATGGAATTCAGGGTTTAACAGTAGGGTAGCTGAAATCATGTATAATAGTCCAGTTGATTTTTTAATATGAGAACTCCTCAGAATTGCTTGCATAATTTGATTATACTTAAATATGTTTATAAAGGGTTAGGGTTAGCATACATATATGTAGGATTTCAGGGGAAWTTTGCATGTAAGTGACATCCTGGGTTTGATTTTTAAGAGTGAAGAATGACTTCTTTCGGAAAGCAGAAATTTCGAGTTGTTTAAGGAAATAGTTTGATAGAAGGAAAGAATTTGGGTTGTGACATTCATATATAAGGTTTAGTTTTATCTAATGTTGGAGTTGAGATGCTATGTACATAATTTTACTTGGATTAATTGCCATGTGAGAAATGTTCAGTCTTTCTCTCTCATGACCTAAAAGAACTAATGAAAAAACTGTTTTGCCTAAACACTGTATGCCTTTTCATACAAAGCATATGAGTTTTCAGAAATTGTTTTATATCAATTTTAAGCTTTTATCTGAACTTGAATCTAGACATATTTGATCATTTTCATTAATATCCTTTCTCTCCCACATTTTCAATATTCTTGTTTTTGAGTTTCCAGTTTTCACTTTACTTATTTTAAAAGTAGATATAAAAAATTGTTTTTTTAGATGAAATTGACAGTTAATTATTTTGAATAACTTTCCCAATGTATACTTAATTTCCATTAGAAATTTTTATAGGTTTAAATTTTTTAATTCATAAGTTGCTTTATTATAACTTATATTGGAAAAGTATAGTGAAGTATTTTTAAATTAATATTTTAAATTTTAAAATCTCATGGTGATAATTCTCAAAGGATAATAGAAATAGAATATATGTATGGAAATACAAGTAACAAAGGAAAAAACTCACAGCATTGGTAAAATCCACTTTGAAGTATTTGTTTATATGAAATTTATTATTTTAGGTGCTATTTCATTCCTAATATATTGGTAAACTTTTTTTTTTTTTTTTTCACTACTAGGGATTGAACCCAGGGCCTCATGCATGCTAGGCAAATGCTGTATCCCCGAACAGTGTCCCAGCCCCCTTGGTAAACATTTTTATGAGGAAAATAGGACCCTTATGCCAGTCATGTTTTGGTGGTCCATTCAGTATATTGCTCTTTTTGTAAACTCGTATAATCCTTTGTGAAAGAAGTTTAACTGTGTGTATGTATGTATGTATGTGTGTGTGTATATATGTTACACACACACGTATATATGTTGTGAAATTTCTTCTCGAATGATTACTGTCCTTGTTTTTTACTTTGCTCACCCTATATTAATAGTCTGTTTTTCAATTTTAGATATGAATATCGTGTGGAGATGGTTCACCAGTCCTGCAATGATCCTACTAAAAATATCATTCGAGAATTTGCATCTGACTTTGAAGTTGGAGAATGCTGGGGCTATAATAGATTTTTCCGTTTGGACTTACTTGCAAATGAAGGATACTTGAATCGACAAAATGATACAGTAATTTTAAGGTAAAAGAAAATATTTGATATTGTGACTTTTATTATGGATGAAATAATGTCAAAATGTTAAAGTCCATTCATTTAATGAAGAAGAGTACTAAAATCTATACTAACTTTACTAGTTTCTTAACTATTTTATTTCAAATCCAAAGTTTTTAAGTGTATAGTAAATATCAGAAGTTTGTTCAACATCTAGTTATTAAGTCCAAGTTAAAGGAAACTATCACAGATTGAGGATCCCTAATCTAAAAACCTGGAATACTCTAAAATCCAAATCTTTTTAAAAAAATATTTTTAGTTGTAGATGGACACAATACCTTTATTTAATTTATATGTGTTGCTGAGGATCGAACCCAGAGTGCTAGGCAAGCACTCTACTATTAAGCCCCAATCTTAGCCCGGAAATCCAGATCTTTTTGAGTGCCAACTTGATGCTAAGAGTGGAAAATTCCACTACCTGATGTCATGTAAGGAGTCACAAGTCAAAATGCAGCCACAGTAAAAATTTTGTATAAATTTCTTCCAGACCATGTGGAAGGTATAATCTGAGAACAGTGAGGTATCAAATGCCTAACTTTTTTTCACTTGACAGGATACATTGTATTTGGTGACTGCTTTTACAAACCAACTTTCTAGAAAACGGGCAAATTCAAAATAGGAGACTAGAGGGGGTCTGGGGAAACTCCATGGTAGAACTCTTGCCTCCACATGTGCAAGGCTATGAGTTCAATCCCCAACACTGGAAGAAAAAAGTAGAATAGAGATAAAGCCAGTGTGTAATGCTTGTTCATATGTTTTTCACCAGAAGGAACAGACTATGCAATCACTGTAAAAAAAAAAAAAAAATAGCCCCACTGAATGTTGGGATAGCTTTTTTAAATTATTTTTTTTCCTGGTACTCAGGCTTGAATCCAGGGGCATTCTACCACTGAGCTACATCCCCAGCCTTTTTTTTCATTTGAAACAGGATTTTTCTAACCCAAGGGCTCTCTACTACTGAGCTACACCCCTGGCCCTTTTATTTTTAATTCTTTTGAGACAGGGTCTTACTAAGTTTCTGATGCTAGTAGGCTCAAACTTGAGAGCCTTCTGCCTCAGTATCTGGGATTACAGTCATGTACCACCACCAAGCCTGGCTGAGAACTCAAAATGTTTAAAAGAGGAGATTCAGATGGTCTGAACTGAGAAGTTTCAAAGTGTTTAATGGTTTAGAAAATTTTCATCAAAACAAAATTTTTTACCTAATTTCAATTATTCTGAATTCTTTTTGTCCTTAGCATGCTGGATAACTGAGTTGCCATTTTATCAACCTTTACATTTATGTCTTCTTCCTAGTTTTTCTGGGAGAATAAAAATGTGAACAAAAGGGATACGATTTTTGGTGTAGGAAAAAAACGTTAATGATATTTTTTGTATTTTCTTTTGGGGACATTATTTGAATTCTGCTTCATAATATTTCTGGGTTTTATTCTTTCAGTTATTCACAAAGAAAAATAATATTTTTATTCATTTTTTATGTGGTGCTAAGGATCATAATCAACATTACTATCATTAAAATAAGGCAAGAACAAAGACATGGCTCTTTAGTAGGTTAATAAACTGATGTTTGAATAACTTCCCACATTCATAACTGAAGCATGAAATAGCAACAAATTATTTCTCTTATTGAACTTGGGTATGGTGGCACACTTCCATAATCCCAATGACTTTGAAGACTGAGGCAAGATAATTGCAAATTAGAAGTCACCCCCAGCTACTTAATAAGACCCTGTCTCAAATCAAACTAAAATTGTGGAATTTATAGTTACAGATTCAAGGCTAGACTGTTAATATTTTACTGTTTGATTTATTTTTCATGTGGAGCAATTCTTTTAAGGTTTCAGGTCCGTTCGCCAACTTTTTTTCAAAAATGTCGGGATCAGCATTGGTATATCACTCAGTTGGAAGCTGCGCAGACTAGTTATATCCAACAAATAAATAATCTTAAAGAGGTAAGGCAATAACATCTACTTCTGGTTTAGTGTTTCATACTGTCCATTTTGCCTGTTATATTTGGAAATTATATATTAAATATTTAATGCTTTTTATAATTTTGTAGAAAAAAATCCAGTTATCCTGTTTCCCATCTTTTGAGCCTCTAGGTTCTGCATTTTCCCAGTTTGGTAGCCACTAAGCTATGGTTTGGCTATGTTGGTTTAATTTCATTAAAATTAAAGACATAGTAACTTAGTTTCAGTGGCCACGTTTCAAATGCTTGTGTTAGGGATTGCAGATGTAGATCATTTCTGTTATTGCTTAAAATTGTATTGCATGGTGTTGCTCTAGTTTGAGGTAAATTCTCTGTGTTTCTCTCAGTGACTAAGGTAATTCTCCTCCACAATTTGTCTTGGATTTAAAGGATTCAAAAGTTGAATTGAAAGTTTCTTTGTGTCAGACTCTCTTTATGGTTGAATGAGCCTTAGGGAAGACCCATTAATGAATTTTTACTTTAAAATGACAAAATTGCATGAGGAATTTTTTTCCTTACTGGAAATTTGGTGTATTGTTAATAGACAAGAGAGAAAAATATAAACAATATATACATCTGCAGATTTTCATGTTAAGTGTGTTATTTTAAACTATTGGGGCTGGGTATGTAGTGTAGTGGCAGAGCACTTGCTTAGTATGTGCAAAAGCCTTGGGTTCAATCCTTAGCTCTGAGAAAAAGAAAAAATAAAAACCTGCCTGTATTCACTATAATTATTCACTGTAATTGTTTATGTAGCTTGGGCTAAATATGAAAGGAAGAGAATAAAGTATTTATTTTTGCTATAGATTTTTTTCCCCTATAAACAGAGGCAAAAGTGGATGAAAGAGATAGTTCAAGAAATAGTTTTTAGGGCTGGGGATGTGGCTCAAGCGGTATCGTGCTCGCCTGGCATGCGTGCGGCCCGGGTTTGATCCTCGCACCACATACAAACAAAGATGTTGTGTCCGCCGAAAACTAAAAAATAAATATTAAAAAAATTCTCTCTCTCTCTCTCTCTCTCTCTCTCTCTCTCTCTCTCTCTCTCTCTCTCTTAAAAAAAAAAAAGAAAAATAGTTTTAGGAAATTGGGCACACACCTGTGATCCCTGTGACTTGGGAGTCTGAGGCAGAAGGATTGCAAGTTCCTGGCCAGCCTTAGCAACTTAGATCCTGTCTCAAAAAAATAATGAAAAGGGTTAGGGATGTGGTTCAGTGGCTAAGTGCCCCTGGGTTCAATCCCCAGTACAAAAATAAATAAATAAAATAAGTAGTTTAAGGAATATCTAAATCCATTTTTTAAAATTTGTTCTTTTAGATATACATGACAGAGTATATTTTGATATATTGTACATACATGGACTATAACTTCCCATTCTTGTACATGATGTGATGTTATACTGGTTGTGTATTCATATATGAACATAAAGTCCAATTCATTCTACTGGTTTTGCTATTCCTGTCTCCCCTCCTTTCCTCACTCCCCTTTGTCTAATGCAATGAACTTCTATTCTTCTTTCCCTGCCCCCTGTTGTGTATTAGCATCCGCATATCAGAGAGATCATTTGGCCTTTGTTTTTTGGGGGGAGATTGGCTTCTTTATGGCTGAATAATATTCCATTGTGTGTATGTACCACATTTTCTTCATCCATTCATCTGTTGAAGGGCATCTAGGTTGGTTCATAGCTTAGCTATTGCAAATTGAGCTGCTATGACCATTGATGTGGCTGTGTCACTATARTATGCTGATTTTTAAGTCCTTTGGGTATAAACCAAGGAGTTGGATAGCTGGGTCAAATGGTGATTCCATTCCAAGTTTTCTACGGAATCTCCATACTGCTTTCCATGATGGTTGTACCAATTTGCAGTCCCACCAACAATGTACAAGAGTACTTACCTCCCCACATCCTTCCAAACATTTATTGTTAGTTCTATAATTGCCATTCTGACCGGAGTGAGTTGAAATCTCCGTGTAGTCTTAATTTTCATTTCTTAATTGGTAGAGATGTTGAACATTTTTTTCATATATTTGTTGACTGATAGTATTTTTTCTTCTGTGAAGTGCCTTGTTCAGTTCCTTTTCCCATTTATTTTTGTGGCTATTTGGTTTTATTTGGTGTTAAGTGTTTTGAGTTCTTTATATATCCTAGAGATTAATGCTGTATCTGAGATGCAGGTGGCAAAAATTTTCTTCCATTCTTTAAGATCCTTCTTCACATTCTTGATTGTTTCCTTTACTTGAAGAAGCTTTTTAGTTTGATACTATCCCATTTATTCATTCTTGATTTTACTTCTTGCACTTCAGGAATCTTATTGAGGTAAGTTCCTAAGCCAGCATGATGGAGAGTTGGGCCTACTTTTCCTTCTACTAGGCACAAGGTCTTTTGTCTAATGCCTAAGTCCTTAGTCCACTTAGAGTTGAGTTTTGTGCAGGGTGAGCAATACATGTTTAATTTCATTTGGCTACATATGGATTTCCAGTTTCCCAGCACCATTTGTTGAAGAGGCTATCTTTTCTGCAAAGTATGTTTTTGGTGCCTTTATCTAGCATTAAATAACTGTATTTATGTAGGTCTATCTCTGTGCCTTCTCTTCTGTACCATTGGTCTTCATGTCTGTTTTGTTGCCAATACCATGCTGTTTTTGTTACGATAGCTCTGTAGTATAATTTAAGGTTTGGTATTGTGATGCCTCCTGCTTCACTTTTCTTGCTAAGAATTACTTTGGCTCTCTGGGCCTCTTATATTTCCAAATGAATTTTATGACTGCCTTTTCTATTTCTATGAAGAACATCTTCAGAATTTGAATAGGAATTGCATTAAATAGCACTTCTGATAGTATGGTCATTTGACAATATTAATTCTGTCTAAGAATATGGGTGATCTTTCCATCTTCTTTTTATTTTCAACATTGTCTTTGAAACTCTATGCATTTCATCCACATAAGAATAATAAATACAAGGAACAAACATTGTGAAAAAGGCAAATTACATGATAATTCCTGTGCAAAATTCTTACAAATCTATGAAAAACTACTAGACTTAGTAAGGTTTTACAAAAGTCACAGGGTGCAAACATTAATATCTCTCACAAAATAGTCCAAAAAGTGTTGTTTGAAATGACAAAGATCATTTGTTATTTCCCCATTTTGTGTCTGTCCGGCATTTATATGGGGAGAATGGTGGATGTCAGAATGTCTGGGGACTCCTGATCAGTCACTAAAGCACATCGGAAAGCATCCGGAGGTTTATTCAACTGGTATTTCTGGAGTTGATGTTCCCTGTTGGGCAGGGACCTTGAAGCTGTTACCCAGAAAACCCACATGTAATTTGATCTTTCCATCTTCTAARGTCGTCTTCAATTTCTTTCTTTAAAATTCTGTAGTTTTCCTTGTAGAGGTCTCTTACCTCTTTTGTTAGACTAATTCTGAAATATTTTATTTTGTTTTTGAGGCTGTTGTGAATGGGATAGTTTTCCTAATTTCTCTTTCAGTGGATTCATCACTGATGTATAGGAATTTGGGTGTTAATTTTATATCCTGATACTTTGCCGAGTTCATTTATGAATTCTAGAAATTTTCTGGTGGAGTTTTTTTTTGAGCGAACTTCTAAATATAGAATCATGTTCTTGGCAGTAGGGGTAATTTGATAGTCTTCTTTTCCTATTTGTATCCCTTTAATTTCTTTTTTCTGTCTAATTGCTCTGGTTATTTCCTTCTGTGTTGAAGGCTTGAAAGAGGGCATGCTTGCCTTTTTCAAGTTTTTAGAGGGAATGCTTTAAATTTTTCTCCATTTAGAATGATGTTGGCCTTGGGTTTAACTTATATAGCTTTTATAATGTTGAGGTATGTTCCTACTATCCCTAGTTTTTCTAATGTTTTGACCATGACTGGATGTTGTATTTTGTCAAACGCTTCTTCTGTATCTAGACCCATTTTTTTTTTACATTTTTTTTTAGTTGTAGAAGAACACAATATCTTAATATTATTTATTTTTTATTTGGTGCTGCAAATTGAACCCAGTGCCTGACACATACTAGGCAAGCATTCTACCACTGAGTCCCAGCCCCAACTCCTGGATCCATTTTTTAACTTTAAACTGTTTTTTTCTATGCCCATGAGGCACTGCTTAAAACTAATGTTAATGTTGTTCTTGTTTTAAAAGAGACTTACCATTGAGCTGTCTCGAACTCAGAAATCAAGAGATTTGTCACCACCAGATAATCATCTCAGTCCCCAAAATGATGACACTCCAGAGATGCGAGCCAAGAAGTCTGGGTCATGCTCTGACATGCTTCTTGAAGATGGCCCTACTACAGCTTCTGTAAGAGAGGCTAAAGAGGATGAAGAAGATGAGGAGAAGATTCAAAATGAAGATTATCATGTAATAATTAGGCCAGTTTAAGACTTATAAGAGAAATTATAGAATCATGGTTTCTAACATAGAATATAAGGGGAACAGTGTGCTTGAAAATTTTGTCCATTTATTTTCATTTTTGTACATGTTCTATAAATGTTAATGTTTATGAGTCAGAAGTGGTTGAGCATTTCAAGAGTCTAAAAGTTAATTTATTACAGAAAAATATACATTATATGAAGCAGACTGATGAACATTCCAGAAATGAAACTATGTAAATTGTGGATTTTAATGTGTTCTGTTTTCATTCGTTAAAACTAGTAGGTGTCTTATCATTGCATGTCAGTAGAATTATTAAGGGTTAGGAGATAACCATTTTGTSCCAGCTAAAAACAACCAGAAAAAGAATTCAAGAAGTATTTGTTATTTTTATATAGTTAAGACAAGGTACAGAAAGAAGCAAAAATTTTTTTTGAAGTTTTTAATTTTGAGATGGGAAACTTCGGTTTTTAATTAAATGAAGATGTTAAGCACACTGATGAACTAAGGAGGTAACAATGGTAGAATGAAATCGTTAACCCAGATTGAATTTAAAAAAAAAAAAAAAAAAGGTGCAGTTTGTAGGTAAAAGACAACTGAAAGTTGGGTACATTTATGCTTACTTTTTCTATGCAGATATTAAGGATATTTCATGACCTTGAGAAATATGAAGACTACTTTGGTCTTGAGGGATGGTTTGACATATTACTTTGTGAGGAACCTTGCTAGGAAGCTGAGATGGAATATATGAAGCATATCCAGTTCCATTGAGGACCCAACTAAAATTAATAACCATAGATTGGTAGTGATACCAGTTAGTGTTGTTGTGCTCAGCAGTATAGGGACACAAGGGCATAGAATAGAATTCTGAAACTTGCATAATTCTTCATTGTCTGGATTGGATGATCAACAGGGTGGAAAATTTACAACAGAATTCTTCTTTGCTTTGCTTTCATCTAGAATGAGCTTTCAGATGGAGATCTGGATCTAGATCTAGTTGGTGAAGATGAAGTTAATCACCTTGATGGCAGCAGTTCTTCTGCCAGTTCCACAGCAACAAGTAACACAGAAGAAAATGATATTGATGAAGAAACTATGTGAGTGACCCACATTACCTACTACTTATAAAGCATCTGAGTGGTGATTTTTAGAAGCATATTGAAAACTTACAGTGTTGATGTTCAGCATATTTTTCTAGATATGGTGTAATAAATAAAAGAACTTGAATGAAATACTAAATAGACAGCTTCCCTCTCATCTCTAGGCTCTAAGCCAAGAGTTTTGGGTTTTATTTTAACTTTTAAATTTAATTTTGAAATTATTTAATACTTAAGAAAACTTATAAAATATTATTTAAAATTTCCATATTCCCTTCATATGTATTAATTCCCAAATGTTAATATTTTGCTTTATTAAATTTTTCTTTTTTCTATACATAACTTTTTTTCTGAGATACTTGAGATTAAGTGAATATAATTTTCCTTGTGTACTTAAGAATTTTTCTTATATAACTGTAGTGCAGTTATTAAACTCAAGAAATTAATACTGTGGTACTGTAACCTATTAAAATTTTGTCAATAATGTCTTTTGTCTGGTCCAGGATTCTATCCCAGATTACATTTGCATTTAGTTGTTAAATCTCTTTATCTGCTTAAGTTTTAATTACTGTTTTTTTTTCCTTCATGGCTGACATGAAATATATATATATATATAGAGAGAGAGAGGGGGGGGAGAGAAAGGGAATGTGAGAGAGAGAGAGAGAGGGAGTGTGAGAGTGAGTGTGTGTGTGTGTGTTTTGTTTTGTTTTTCCCCTTGATGCTGGGCATGATAACCCAGAATCTCAGGAATGCTAGGCAGCACTCAGTAGAGCCACATCTCCACACCTCAGAGTAGGTATTTTGTAGACAGTCTCTCAATTGGATTAGTCTGTTTCCTCATGATTAGATTGAGCTGGGAACTTTGGGCAAGAATACTATTGAAGTCTTGATGCATCTTTTTCTGTGCACAATGAGTGGAATTACACATGATATTAATCTGTCACATTACTGATGATTATTAATTTTGATCATCTGATTTAGGTATTGTCTCCCAGGTTTCTCCCTTCTAGAATTACTTATCCTTTTGTTATTAATGAATACCTTATGGGGGCTTTTTGTAGAGATACTGTATAACCTGTTTTTCATATCTCTTGATGATTCTTACTTAAAAAAGGTTACTTTGTGATTGCTGTTTTAGTCAGCTTTTTCAATGCTGTGACTAAAAGATCTGACCAGAACARTTGTAGAGGAGGAAAAGTTTTTTTGAGGGCTCACTGTTTCAGAGGTCTTAGTCAAGGTGAGGTAGAACATCATGGTGGAAGAGTGTTAACAGAGGGAAGCAGCTCACATGAAGATCAGAAAGCAGAGAGAGAGAAACTCCACTGCAGGATACAAAATATATATCCCAAAGCCACACCTACAATGCCCCACCTCCTCCACTTATTACTCAGTTAACCCCCATAAGGGGATTTTAATTCACTGATTGGTTAAAGCTCTCCCAACCCAATCGGTTCTTCTCTGAACTTTCTTGCATTGTCTCACATGTGAGTTTTTGGAGGGACATCTCACATCCAAACCATAACAATTGCCATTGATGATTTTCTAATTCCTTTATTCCTTCTATACTCAATAGTGGAATTCTACTTTAAGGAAGAGCTTATTCCTCCACCCCATTAATTGGTATATTAATTTCACTAGTATCAATTCTTATGTTATAAAATGGTTTGAATTCCTTACTATCATTTATTTCATTGCTCAGATTATTATACATTTGGCTAATGGTAACCTGTTACAGCTAAGTCCTGTGTTCTTTGAATATATCTCCATTATTTTTTTAATTTTTATTTTTTGTAGTTGTAGATGGACAGCATGCCTTTATTTCATTTGTTTATTTTTATGTGGTGCTAAGGATCAAACCCAGTGCCTCATACATGCTAGGCAAGCACTCTTACCAACTGAGGTGTATCCCCAGCCCAAGAATGCCTTTATTTTACTTGTTTATTTTTATGTGGTGCTGAGTTTCTAACCCAGTGCCTAATGCATGCTAGGCAAGCACCCTGCCACTGAACTAGTCCTGTCTTTTTTTTTTTTTTTTTTTTTGTAGTTGTAGATGGACAGCATGCCTTTATTTTATTTGTTTATTTTATATGGTGCTGAGGATCGAACCCAGTGCCTCATGCATGCTAGGCAAGTGCTTTACCACTGAGCTACAGCCCCAGCCCTCCATCATTTTTAAGCACTTTTTTTTTTTTTAGCTTTGTGTTATTGTAAAGCACTCCAGATTCATCTTGTACCTTCTCTGTCCCAGCCCTGTATCAGCTGTTAAATAAGAGTTCATATGAGATGGTTTTGAGTTTGTATTGTTTTTGTACTTTTGCAGTGCTGGGGATCTAACTCRAGCTTTCACACATGCTAGGCAAGTGCTCTAGCCCTGAATTACATTCCAGCCTCAGATGAGATGTTTTATTCTTTGTGGTACTGGAGATTGAACCCAGGGGTGCTCTACTACTGAATTACATGCCCAGCCCTTCTTATTTTTTTATTTTTGAGACCGAGTTTTGTTAAGTTGCTAAGAATGGCCTCAAATTTACTATCCTCCTGCCTTAGCTTCCCATGTTGTAGGGTTTACAGACATGCACCATCACACCTAATCCCAGATGAGACTTTTCTAACATCCTATTGGGTTCCCCTCCATTCTTACAAAATTAGTTCCTCAAAATAGACCATTTAGTTATCTAAAAGGGGTTAGCTAGTTAAAATGTGAAGCCTAGGTACTTTTTAATTCCCCAAATGAGAAGTCCCTAATGAGAATGTGAGATTTTTAGATGACTAGAACTGATTGATTTGAATCAGCATGGAAAATTTACAGTTTATTCTTTAATAACACTTTCTATGATGTGAAGTCCAGCTTGCTAAAAGATTGCTAACAGATATAATTTAATCTGAATTACTACTTTGTCTGTTATGACTCTTGGCTTTTTTTCAAGATTGTTCTTAAAGGCAGCTGGGTTTTATGTAAAACTTGATTCACAACCTTTCTAATAGTGTTTGTGTTGTGTCAATATACATTCATCTACGCTGGACTGTGACCTTGTCAAGACAGTAGGGCGGGGGGGAGCGCATTTACCACATCTATAGTAATATCTTAATTTAAATTATTTTATACAATTCATAGAAGTAACAGCACAAGTTAATTTTCCTTCCTCTTATAGATTGATTCATATTCATTCATTCCTCACCCCCCACAGTACTAGGGATTGAACCCATGCTAGGCAAGTGCCCTGCCAGCAAGAAGGAAAGCTGTATTTCCAGCTGTTCTTCCTTTTATTTTATTTATTTATTTTTATGTAGTGGAGAGGATCAAACCCAATGCCTCACACATGCCAGACAAGCTGTATTGTGGATGTTCCCCAATTTATTCAGCCAATCCATTGAAGGATATCTGGAATGTTTCCAGATTTGGGCTATATTCTGAATAAAGCTGTTATAAATATCTGTGCACAGGGTTGTTTGTTTGTTTACCAGGGATTGAACCCAAGGATGTTTAGCCTCTGAAACACATCCCCAAGCCCTTCTTTTTTTTTTTTTTTTTTTTTTAATTTTGAGACAGGGTCTTCCTAAATTGCTTAGGGTCTCGAAGAGTTGCTGAGACTGATCTTGAATTTGCAGTCCTCCTTCCCAGCCTCTTGAGTAGCCGGGATTATAGGAGTACACCACTGTGCTGAGCCTGTGCACAGGTTTTTATGTCAACATAATTCTTAATTTCTCTGGGATAAATGCATTGTTGGTTCATATGATAATTGCATGTTTTGTTTTAAAGAGAATGTCAGTTATCTAGAATCGCTATACTATTTTACATTTCCTCTAGAAGTGTATGAGTGATCCAGTGGTTCCTCATGAGGTTTTGTATTTTCACTAGTTTTTATTGAATATTGCATGGTTTTATTATAAACAGCGTTGGATTTTGTTATGTACGCTTTTTCGATCTACTCAGAGGGTCATTTTTATTCTACTGATAAGGTATATTATAATTCTCTTATATTGCTGGATCCATTTACTAATATTTTGTTGATATTTTTAATGTGTTGCATCTTTCTCTGTGGCTCTTTTATTTTTAAATATCTTTATTTTATTTATTTATTTTTATGTGGTGCTGAGGATTGAACCCAGCTAAGCAAGTGCTCTACCACTGAGATACAATCCCATCCCCTGTGGCTCTGAACTGGAGTGAGGAGAAAAGTGTATTTCTCTCTCCTGCTTTAAAAGCTGAGCTAACTAGGCAGTGGAGTAGTAAGCTTAGCTCTTCTGAGTTTGCTTTTTTAGCTTTGAACCTTCACTTTATAAATAAGCTGTGACAAGGGCAATTTGGGCCTCAGCATTTTCAACATGCTATACCCAAGTAGAACCTCTATTTTACATATGGATCTGGGTAAAAAGGAATTCCTTACCTTTTGGCCACATACACTTAGACCTTGGCATTAGCAATATGTAGCTGAAGGCAAAATGAGAAATATTGATTTCTTACCCTTCCTGGGAATATATCCTCTTGGGAGCTGCAGGAAGTGGAAGATCTTTGTTCTTGACAATTCCAATCTGGAGTGGGATTTCTGTCTGAATGGATTTGATGGGGAAGAGGAGTGATTTAAGATTCAGGTACCACAGATGCATACTCTGTCTTAATAAATTTTAATACTTTTTTTTTTTTTTTGCATTGGAGATTGAATTCAGGGGTGCTCTACCACTGAGCTACATCTCCAGCTCCTTTTTGACTTTTATTTTGAGACAAGGTTTTGCTAAATTGCCTCAGCCTCCTAAACCACTGGGATTATAGTCCTGTTTCACCAGGCCCACCTTAATGTATATTTTTTGAAGTGTATGTTTTTTCATTTGTTTGGTTTCAATAGAATCATTTTGAGAATCTTTAAATATTTTTCGTTGCTTTTGTTTTTGTGATTCTGAAGATTTGAGTCTAGGGCCTCATGCATGGTAAGCAAGCGTTCTACCCCTGACCTGCAATGCCAGCCCATAAATGTTTTATTAAAAAAAACTGTCACCAGTTTTCTCAAAAGCAGGTCTGCAGAGCTCCTTAAACCATCAAGCTGGGAGATGATCTTAAGATTTCTTTAAATATACAAAATAACATTGATCAGCAACCACTTATCAGAGATAACATTCGGCCTTTGGTTTTTTGTGTTTGGCTTATTTCCCTTAGCATCGTATTCTCTGGCTCCATCCATTTACCTACAAATGTCATGATTTTCTTCTCTTTTAATTCTGAGTCGTGTATAATAAATTACAGCAAATAAATAAATGAATTTTTTAAAATTAAAAAAATTGATTTCTACTATTCCAAATAATACTTTGTAGTTTAAAATAGTGTTTTTTAGTAATAAGAGAGTCTTTATGAGTACTAGTAGGAAGCAGCACCTTTTTTTTTAAAGTTATTTTAGTCCTGTATAGTAATTTGGACTTTTATTTCTTAAACATTTCCTAATTTTACTATCATTAGATTACCAGTTCTTTAAACCTATAGTCTCTTCTATTTACAGTGGTTCTCAGATTTTCTGATTTAAAAATTAAACGTTGCCAACCCTACCTTGATTTTAGTGGGTGACAGTGGAGGGTGGGTACTGGAAATTGAGTCTAGGAGCACTTTACCACTGAGCTGCATTCTCAGCCCTTTTTGAGACAGGGTCTCACTAATTTTCTAAGATTGGCTTTGAGCTTGTGATCCTCCTGCCTCACAACTTCTCCTGTTTCTGGGATTACGGGCATATGCCATCACACCTAGCTTCTACTTTGATATTTTTAAAAAGCTTACATTTTAGGGCTGGGGTTGTGTCTCAGTAGTAGAGTACTTGCCTAGCACATGATCCTTGGCACCACATAAAAGTAAATTAAAAAAAATTAAGTTACATTATAAAAAAAGACTTCCTTCCTTTAAAAAAGTTTATTATTCATGTGGTTGTTTGAACATTAACATTACTCATACATGAGATACTGATAGAAGTTATTATTTTTGCATTTAGAAATGTTATGTCTTCATAGGAGAAAGTTGGTACACTTGTTATAAAATTCTTTGAAATGTATCTATAAATGTTAATTGTATTTACTCTGTGAGAATGATGAATCTTGTTTATTAGGTCTGGAGAAAATGATGTAGAATATAACAATATGGAGTTGGAAGAGGGAGAACTGATGGAAGATGCAGCTGCTGCAGGACCTCCAGGTACAGAGGCCAAGCCCCACAAGCCTTCTGTCTTGTCTGTGCTCTTTTCTGACCAGATCATATTTCAATAAATGAGAGCCACTGCTCTATGTGGTTCATGGTGTTAAAAGTGCTGTATCTTATAGTATAGATTTTAGAGTGTATTACTAGTGATAACTATCATTGGAAAAGTGTTCTTGTGTTTTAGGCATTGTTTGAGGCCGTTAATGTGTACCTTATCCTGTTTACTTAGAAAATTCTCTGAGATAGGTTCTAATAATATCTACTTTTTTTTTTTTTTTTTTTGGTACCAGGGATTGAACTCAGGGACACTTGACCACTGAGTCATATCCCCAGCCCTATTTTTATTTTCACTTTAGAGATAGGGTCTCGCTGAGTTGCTTAGCACCTTGCTTTTTTTGTTTTTGTTTTTTTTTTAAAGTAGTCTTGAACTCAGGGACACCTTACCACATCCCCAGCCCTCTTTATTTTGAGACAGGGTCTAGGTAAGTTGCTTAGGGCCTCACTAAGTTGCAGAGGCTGTTCTCAAACTTATGATCCTCCTGCTTCAGCCTCCCAAGTACCTGGGATTACAGTTGTGTGCCACTGTGCCTGGCAATATCTATTGTTGATAGTTACAGAATCTGATACATACAGAAATTTTAAAAGTTGCCATGTTTCACAATTTATTAAATGTTGTTTTAATTCAAAGCACAAATTATATACTATTCGATTTATGAATCTTTTTTGTGTTAAGGCTTGGTTGATCAAGACTTTGGGTCTGTTGTGATGGAATGAATGTATTTTGTGAGAAGGACATGAGTTTTGTGGGTCCAAAACTACTGCAATAACTAAAGAATATAGACTGAGTAATTTATGGAGAATAAACGTTTATTCAGCTCACAGTTCTAAAGAACAGAAATTCAAAATTGGCCACATGCATCTTAAGAGGTAGTCCTTGCTGGTGCAAACTGGATTCCCAAGGCAGCAGCATAAGGTAGCATATGGGGAGACATAATGTCCTAGCTCAGGTTCATCCTCCTCCTCTTATAAAACCACAAGTACATTGGATTAGAATCTTACCCTTATTAGCCTCATTTAATGTTAATTATCTCCCAAAGGTCTTACCTTCAAGTACCATAGTCAGATTCTAAGTTTCTACAATGGGGTTTAAATTTGAACATGAGTTTTGTTGGAAATTTTTTTCTTCCTTTTCTTTGTTCCCTCCTCCCTCTCTCCCTCCCCCCCCCTCCCTCCCCCCCCTGTCTGAGAATTGAAGCTAAGACCTAGTATATGCTTGGAAAGCACTGTAGTACTTAATTACATACCCAGACCTTATTATTTTTTAGACAGGGTCTCTCTAAGTTTCCCAGACTGCCCTTGAACTTGTGATCCTCCTTCCTCAGCCTCCAAAATAGTATGCCACCATATCTGGCTTGGTGGAGATATACAAAACAGCATTCTGCCTCTGGACCCCCAGAACTTACATCCTTCTTTTGTTCAGAATACATTATGCTCCAAAGGCATAATTCATTCCAACTTTGACTCAGAAGTCCAGTATCTCATCTAAAACTCAAGGCAAACTCCTTCCAGCTGTGAGCCTGTGAAATCAGAAGAAATTATCTACTTCCAATATGGCATCAGCGGGACAGAMATAGGGTAAACAGTCCTGTTCCAAAATAGAAGAAGGCTTCAAGAACGGCCTATCAATTGAAAGCAAGTACAAAATCCAGAAAGGCAAATAATAAGTTTCAAGCTTCAGAAGAATCCTTCTCTATATATGTTACCTCCTGTACACACTGTGGCAAAGGACAGGCATCCAAGGCCTTAGGAAACCCTGTCTTTTCCTTCGCTGGGCCTGGTTCAAGTGGCTATACTCAGGTTGCATGCTGGTGCCTGTGGCTCTACTATTCTGGGATCTCAAAAGCCACACTCCTGCTCCCACATATCCAATAAGCATAATAGTGAAGAATCTCTGTAGTAGTTCCACACCTGGAGGTTTCTCCCTAGACTCTGGGGAAGTTAGGTAGAGGTTGCCACACCCTCATAACTCTTGGGATCTGTGAGCCTGCAGACTTGAAAACCATGGGAATGTGGATACCACCGAATCTTGCTGTTAGCTCTCTCTGGAGCATAGCCAAAGTTATACGTAAGCCTGCTTAAGCTGTTACTCGGACAGCTGAACACTGTACCAGGATGTAGAGAACAGAGTCCTGAGATGGACCTGGGAAGCAAGCCCTTGAAGAGTGCCCATTTTCTGAAACTATTCAGTTCTCTTAAGCCTGAGGGCTTTTATCCCATTGTCTTGATGATTGGCAGTTGGCTATATTTTATGGAGTTTGTCTGTCTAGCAAGTGCAAGTGGAAAGCTATTCCCTCGGTAATCCCTTCTGAACACCATTTGTCACTCTTTAGGAGGGTAGGCTTTGAATTTTCCAAATGTTTAGACTTTGCTTCCATCTTATAGATTCCAGCTGTAGGTCATGCTTTTGCTTCTGAGTCTTGCTATATGTTGTTAAAAAAAAAGTACCTACAAAGCTCTTGGAATATTTTGCTTTAAAATTTTCTTTTTCTAAATWCCTTAGGTTCTCACTCTTGACAGTAAAGTCCTAGGACATGGACATAGTTCACCCAAAATCTTTGCTACTTTAGAGCAAGAATAGCTTTTTGCCAGTTTCCATTAAAACAGTTCTCCATTTAAGACTACATCAGCATGGCTTTTATTGTTCACATTTCTATCAGCATTCTGATCACGATCATGTTGCCAATCTCTAAGAAGTTTCAAACTTTCCCTAATCTCATTGTTTGAGTCCATACCAAGGGTGTGTAAAGTGCTCTGTTTATAGCATTCTAGGCATTTTCTAGCCTACTTCTGCAAACTTGCCCATTGCCCATTTCCAAATCTATTTCCATGTTTCAGGTATTGTTATGGCAACAACCCCATTATCAGTACCGATCTTCTACCAGTTTTGTTGCTATAACAAATTACCTGAGGCTAGATGATTAATAAAGAAATGAGGTTTATTTCAGTCACATGTTTGGAGGTCCAAGAACATGGTAACATCATCTGCCAGCTTCTCATTAGAGCCTCATGGCAGATGGCATCACATCAGGAGTGTATGTGAGAGTGGTGAGTGAGTGCAAGTGAGAAAGTCTAAAACTTGAGGAATAACCTTCCCTTTGTAACAACCCACTCTCACAGTAACTAATCCAGTCTTAAGAGATCTAGCCCAATCTCTCAAAGACATTAATCTATTCATGACCGTGGAGCCCCCATGGCCTAAGAAGAAGTCCTAACACTTCTCAGCAGTTACTTTGGGGATCGAATGTTTTTTTTTTTGTGTTTTTTTTTTTTTTTTTTTTTTTTTAGTTAGTTTTCGGCGGATACAACATCTTTGTTTGTGGTGCTGAGGATCGAACCCTGGCCGCATGCATGCCAGGCGAGCACGCTACCACTTAAGCCACATCCCCAGCCCCTGGGGATCAAATGTTAAACAAGACTTTGGGTAGAGTCACTCGAACGATAACACCTATGTTGCCCTTATTTTGAGTATATTTCTGGGGGGAGGACATATATTCTTTTGCATACTTGAATAAGACCTCTTTTTTTTTTTTTAACCATTTCGACTCCCAACCTAAAGCACTGCACTCTCCCTGTTTCACACTTTATTTTGGGGTGATCTTGTCCAAACCTGTACTTGAGTAATTCATATTAATTACTCTCCAAGTTGTACATGTAGTCTTTATCTTTCCCATAACATTGAGACCCATGTAGCAATTCAGTGTGACTCAGCACCTCTCAAACAAATCATTACCTTTCTACCAACTGTCTGAGCAGTAGTCATCATTTTACTGATTGATAGTTCTGTACATCTTTCACTTCTTCCTCACCTTCAAACTCTACCTTTAATATATTACCAACATCTGTTGATTCTAGCTCCTTAATAGTGCATAAATTCATCTACTCCCATTCCTGTCTATTACTAGTTCAGGCCTCTTTTTCCAAATAGCCTTTCTCATGTGGGCATTTGTATCACTTATTGCTCTTCTCCATTGTGTGTCCCACATCAAGAGTTTAAATGAAGGGTTTTCCTTTCWTTTCATTAATACCTGACCATGTTATTTCTCTACTTTAAAAGCCTTTATTGTAGGGCTAGGGTTGTGGCTCAGCAGTAGAGCTCTCACTAGCATGTGTGAGGCCCTGCGTTCGATCCTCAGCACCACATAAAAATAAATAAATAAAATAAAGGTACTGTGTCCCAACTACAACTAAAAAAAAAAAAAAGAAAAAAAGCCTTTATTGGATAGGCACAGTGGTGCCTACCCAGTGACGGGAAGGTCATAAGTTCAAGGCCAGCCTTGGCAATTTTGCATTACCCAGTCTCAAAAAAAAAAAAAAAAGAAAAAAAAATTGGCTGTGGATGTGGATCAGTGGTGGAGTACCCCTGGACTCAATCTCCAGTACCAGAAAAGAAGAAAACAATGTTTAAAAAAAAAAAATAAGTTAGTGAACAAAAACTGAATTGGGATGAGATAGCAGAATCTGGAATTGCTTTATTTATTTTTTTTACATGCTAGCTATGAAGGTCCATTTCAAACCTGKAATGGTATTTCAGAACTATAGTCATCTAAAGAGTCATGTCATCTAAAGAATTGGTATGTTAGAACATCTGTTAGAAAGGAGGTCAGTCTTATAGAGAGAACTAGGTGTCTTAGTCTATTTTCTGTTACGATAACAGAATGCCTGAGACTGGCTAATTTATATAAAAAGGATTTATTTTGGCTCATGGTTGTAGAGGCTGGGAAGAGAATGGCACCAGTATCAATTCATTTTCTGATAAGACTAACACTGCTCAACTCAAGGTATGCAGCAAAAGGACAAGCAGATACTTTCAAATGAGAACATGAAAGGTAGTCCTCTTTATGTAAACCTACTCTTGCAATGTTATGGTTTGGGTCTCACAGTGTTATGGTTTGGGTCTTAAATGTCCTCCAAAGGCTTATATGCTAATGGCTTGGTTGCCAGTCTGTAATGTTATTGGGAGATGTAGTGTTATTGGAGGTGGTATACATCTTCTAGGAAGTGTGGGGCCTAGTAGAAAGAAGTTAGATCTCCACACTTTATTTTGGATATGCTATTGAAGGGGATATGAGGGCCCTCACCCCTTTTTATTTCCCTCTTTCTGCTTGTTGGCAGCCATCATCTGAGCAGCTTTTTTCTGCTGTAAGCTGTCCACCATGATAGTCTGCCTTGCCATGGGCCCAAGGCCTATACAGAAACTCTGAGCCAAAATAAACCTTTTCTTCTTTAAATTGATTTTCTCATGTATTTTATCACAGTGACAGATAGCTAACTTCTAATACCTAATCCAGTCCCATGAGAGTGACAGTTTATTCCTGAGAGCATTAATATATTTATGAGGGCTCTGCCCCTTGATCCAAACATCTCACTAGGCCCCACCTCTCAACACTGCTATATTGAAGAATGAAACCTCAGCATGAGTTTTGGTGAGGATAAATCATATTTACTAGATATTAAAGTAAAATGGTATTAATAATTTCATTTATAGTCAGTATCAAATAAGGAGATACCTTGAAATAAGAAATACTTATTGAGTCACTTGCTTCCCATAAGAATTGCTTTTAGTTTATTATTTTTATGTAGTGGAAAGAGAATTTTTGTTTTTTAAAAAAGTGCTGAAAAGCTTGTAGGTATTATACTAATCCAAAATATTAGCTCATTGAACCAGCTTTGCAAGAAAACTCTAGTTTTTATTTGCTGGCCATATATGATTTATAAAACATAATGATACTTGAGGAATAGAACACACTTCTAAAACTAACTGATAATTCGTAAGGTTATTAGTCAAAACCTATATTTCAAGGTAAAGATTAAGTTACTTGTTCCACATATGTTTAATGGGTTCCCTGTAGGCATCAGGCACTGCATTGTTCATTGGAATTATAAGAATGACTGAGCATTATCTTTTCTAAATGAGAAACCAACACTGAAAATATTGATAAGGATGGCACCAAATATGGGTGGATCAGCTAATTGGCAATAGACTTTGGTAAGGGAGCTATATTCGTTCCCCATTTTTTTCTTTTTAATTTTGAGACAGGGACCTTACTAAGTTGCCAAGGGTAATTGAAATTTGGTATCCCCCTACCTTAGTCTCCTGAGTCTGTGGAATTACAGGCCACTGCATTTAGTGATTCATTTACTTCTTTGCGGTGTTCAATGTCTTTTCTGTATTAGCTTCAAGATCACTTATCTGTTTATAATTGTAGTGGCCTTATTTTTAATAATGAAAATCCAGAAGAAACCTAATTTTTTCCAATGAATAGAAAAATAAATTGGATATATTCATATACTGGGATGTTACACATCAATAGTGAAGATAAATAAACTGCTATATTACAGCAATATAGATGAATATGATAAGCATGTTGAGTAATAGGCAGGATATAAAAGTTCATTCCCTGTTAATATTTTTGTATAAATTCAAACAGGCAAACCTTTTTATGTGGGCTGGGATATGGCTCAGTGGCAGAGCGCTTGCCTCTCACATGCAAGACCCTGGGTTCGATCCTCAACACCACATAAAAATAAATAAGTGAAATAAAGGTATTGTGTCCAACTACTAAAAAATAAATATTTAAGAAAAAAAAATCCTTATTATGTGTTTAGGTTAGGATGAAGGTACCTGGCATTGAGGCATATGCCTGTAATCCTAGTGACTTGGGAGGTTGAGGTAGGAGGATCACAAGTTCAAGGCCAGCCAGGGTGATCAAAAATAAAAAAAATGAAAAAGACTAGGAATGTAGCTCAGTAGTACAATGGTCCTGGGTTCCATCCCCAGTGCTTGGTGGAGTGGGGGGGGAATACTTTTGGGGAATAGGAGTAGTAAGCAATTTTAGGAGACTGGGGGCGGGGATGCCAGTAATCTGTTTCTTCATTTGGGTGCGATCACTTTGTATATACTTGTTAGACTCCACAGTTATGTATGAGATACATATACATATATATGTTATGTACAGTATGGTAACAATATTAGGTCTCAGGGAAACTGAAATAGATGCTAAAGGTATTGATGACTGTGGGAATATAGTAAAAAAGGATAGGAACATGTGGACAGGGAGTAGCTAAAGTGTATAAACCAACAAGGAAAGCAGTTTTTTTTTTTTCCCCAGTGAGAGAGTAATTGGCTAGAAAAACAGAAGCAGGATTGGGTTGATGGTTGCTCATGGATTCTGGGTACTAATGAAGTCACTCCTCATCCACTGTGAAGTGTACATCTCTCTAGCTGTCTGGTTTCCTTGTGCTTCTCATGAACATGAAACCCTAAGAGATTTCTAAACATATTTTCGAGCGTCATTAACTACTCTTTTTCTTTTACAAATACTTAAATTTGTGCAAATACATATATTTTCACAYCACTCTCTCTTTTTGTTTTGTTTTGCAGGTAATAGCCACAGTTATGTGGGTGCCAGTAGCAGAATGTCAAGAAGAGCACATTTATGCTCTGCCGCTACTAGTAGTTTATTAGACATTGATCCTTTAATTTTAATACACTTGTTGGACCTTAAGGACCGGAGCAGTATGGATAATTTGTGGGGCTTACAGCCTCGGCCACCTGCTTCACTTTTGCAGCCCACAGGTAATATAATTCAAATAATAATTTCTCTTTCTGTTGCTCTCTAAAAGAGAATCGTTGAATTTTTTTCCAATTATTTCATCTAAGTGTTGGAAAATAGTGAATTTCTGTCACAGATTGATTTTTCATTTTATAAGAATGACATTTATAGCAACCAAATCATTATTTTATTATTATTGCCCAAAGGTATTATCTGCAAAAACAAATTATAAATGCTGGAGCCAGGTGTGTTGGCAAATTCCTGTAATTCTAGCTACTGAAGAGACTGAGGCAGGAGGATTGCAAGTTTTAAGACCAGCCTGGGCAACTTAGACCCTTTCTCAAAATAAAAATAAAAAGGGCTGGGCATGTAACTCAGTGGTAGAGCACCCCTGGGTTCTATCCCCAGTACCACAAAGAAAGACAAAAAAGAGCCTTTAAGAAGGTTTTAAATGATTTGTCATTTATATTGTGCCTGGTAGTTTGGTCCATATGAAATTTTTTAGGCCTAACTTCCAAGTGGATGTGTATCCAGATTGAACACAGGAAAAAAAAAAAAAAGCTTTTTATTCATGCTGTGGTGTTCCTCAGTACTGAACAAGAAGGAAGAGAAGAGAAGAAAGCCAGGGACATATCATTTTATATGTATACGGTTGGAGATGGTATTGGGGATCAAACCAAGGCCTGGCACTTGCTAGGTAAGCTCTCTACCACTGAGCTACATCCCCAGCCTGGAGGTACCTAATCCTAATGAACATCTGTTTTTACTCAGTGTGAGAAAGATGAGCCAAGTAGAAACTTTTGGACAGAAATAAAGACAAGAGAACAGAGTAATAGAAGCCAAAGAAAAATAACCCATCTCTGAGGGAAGGCTAATAAAAGCTAGTGTTACAAAAAGATCCAACTTTATCTTTGTTAAAAGGCTTGCTTGGACTTCGAGGTTTATTTTGATTCTTTGTGTACTTTGTTTTTAAARAATTTTTAAATTTCTTTTGGATATGAGAGTAGAGTGTATTTTGACATACATTATACATACATGGAGTATAACTTATTTTAATTAGGATCTCATTGCTGTGGTTGTACATAATGGGGAGTTTTACGTGTCGTGTATTCATATATGAACATAGAACAGTTATGTCTAATTCATTCTACGGTGTTTCTTTTCTTTTTTTTTTTTTGCTTTTTGTAAACTGATTTTTAAAAAAATGACAGAATGCATTACAATTCTTATTACACATATACACAATTTTTATATCTGTGGTTGTATATAAAGTATGTTGACACTAATTGGTGTCTTCATACATGTACTTTGGATAATGATGTCTATCACATTCCACCTTGCTAACCCCCTGCCCCCTCCCTTCCCCTCCCACCCCTCTGTCTATTCCTCCTGTGCTCCCCATCCCTACCCCACTATGAATCAGCCTACTTATATTAGAGAAAACATTCGGCATTTGTGTTTTGGGGATTGGCTAACTTCACTTAGCATTATCTTCTCCAATGCCATCCATTTACCTGCAAATGCCATGATTTTATTCTTTTTTATCACTGAGTAAAATTCCATTGTGTATATATGTCACATTTTTTTTATCCATTCATCCACTGAAGGGCATCTAGGTTGGCTCCACAGTTTAGCTATTGTGAATTGTGCTGCTGTAAACATTGATGTGGCTGTGTCCCTGTAGTATGCTGATTTTAAGTCGTTTGAGTATATCTACTGTGTGTTTCTTAATCCCATCTCCCATCCCTTCCCTTCATTCCCCTTTGTTTAATCCAGTGAACTTCTATTCTCCCTCCTCCATTTATATACTCTTTATTTCAACACATAAAGTTAATGAACAACAACTATGTGTCAGACTAACTGAAAGCCCCTGTTTGTGTGTGTGTGTGTGGGGGGGGAATTGTTTTGTTTGGGGTCCTTGGGATTGAACCCAGAGGTATTTTACAAATGGGCCGTATCCCAGTCCTTTTTATTTTTTAAATTTTGAGACAGAGTCTCACTAAGTTGCTGACCACTGTGCTTTAAAAGGAGCATTTTTAAAAGGTATCAAATAATCTGATTGAATCAGATTTTAAGCTATATGTGCTAAGTAGAATTAGAAAGTCAAGCTGGGTTCATTCTGTGGAAGGCCTTTCATGCTAGTCTGAGGAGTATATTCATAGTGGGTAGTAGAGAGCTGTTGTTTCATTTTAGGAACGGGTTGATTGAAAGTATATTTTAGAAAGCTGGCAATGCTGAGAAACCTATGAGAAATGAAAGTTTAATGAGGGTCTGTTTAGGGGTTTATTTAAATCATTCCTAGAATGAGAGGGCAAATTCATACATTTTTATTTATTTACTCAGTCATATACTTTAAAATATCTGGACTTGGGATAAAGTTTTAAGACTCTATACAATAAAAATTTCCCTTTGGGAGGTATATGGTATAGCTTGGTGGTAGAGTGAAATGGGTGCTTAGCATGCAAAGGTTATAGGTGTGATTCTCCCTCACCCCCCAGAAAAAAGATTCTTTCTTCCTCTAGGGAATACTAAATGAGGCCATTTTAAATTAAGATTTTACTTATAACATGGCAGTGATACTATTTAAAATTTGTGGAATTTAATGTTTATAGGGCTTGGTAACTAATTGGAATGTGATCAAGAGGACTGAAGGACCTTAGGTGACAAGGAGAAGGGTGGCATCATTGACAGATATGAAGTGTGGAGGAAAAGCTATGGAGAATTGTCCTTTGTGAAAGCCATAAGCAACTGATGTGAAAGAAGTATCAGTGAGATTCACTTTTAATTAACTTTATAGYTTAGCACATTCAAAAAGTCTTATTGGCAGAGTGAGAACTTTGAGTTGTTAGTTATTAGTCCCAAAGCAATGTACACTTTCCTGTCTTTGCACTTAGGTAGTACCGAAATTGATTTCACTTTTTCCAGATGGATTTTGAGTTTTGGAGGGTAAAGATTAAGGATTTATCTTATTCATTGTTGTATCCCCTGCCCTTTATAATGCCCAGCATTTAAGACAGGCTCAGTAAATGTTTGACTTATTATCTTATCATGGGAGTTTGTCTGTGTCTTTTTGTATTTTACCTTTTAGGATTTTTATTTATATCCCTAACTCCATCCTTAATCATTTCATAGTAAAAATAAACAGAACCACATGGATTAAGATTTTCCTATTTGTCCATGTAGATGTGGAGTGGGAGGGGGAGCCACAAATATTTTGTTCAGAAAACATTTTTAACCTAAAATATAAAGGGATTTAATATCCACCTTTAAATTGTGTATATTCTATTGATTTGTTTTCTCTATTTTAGGTATATCTTAGTGGTAGATTTTAAGAAATGGGTGCTTAGCATGCAAAGCTATAAGATTGCTGTTCTACTCTATAGATTGCTGCTCTACTCTATAATCTATAGAGTATACAAATTTAGGTAAGAATTAACTTGTGAGGAGGTGTGTAGTTGGTACAGGTGTCTGAAGAAGGAGATATTTTAGATTATATCTGATGAGTAAAGGGACTAGGCAATGAAAAGAATGGAAGGGGGTGTGAACATGGGTCATATATCAGAGTTGCAAGTATAAGTTTAGCATTCCTAATCCTGTAATCTGAAGTGCTCCAAAATCCAAAACTTTTTGAGTACTGACATGATGTTGGATTGTTGGATTTCATATTTTGAATATCAGTTTTGTGGGTTAGGAATGCCCATGTGGTGAAATCTGCGGAAATATTCCAGAATCTGAAACATTTCTGGTTTGGGGCATTCTTTTCTTTTGTACTAGACATTGACCCAAGGGCACTTTGGGTTCAAGCTACATACCAGTCCTTTTATTTTTTGAGACAAGAGTCTTTGCTAAGTTTGCTTAGGACCTCACTAAGTTGCTGAGGGTGGTCTCAAGCTTGAGGTCCTCCTGCCTCAATCTCCTGAGTAGCTATGATTACATATGTGCCACAATTCCTGGCTTGGTCCTGAGCATTTTGGATAAGGGATTCTCAACCTGTAACTCCAAAAGCTAGAGTTACGTTGTGAGTAGAGGTAGAAGATAAAGCCATTGACAAATAAGGTAGAATTAGGGGAATGTCTGGTGTGCCATGTCAGTACCTCCCTAAGTACTATAGAATGCCATGTTAAGAATTCTAAGCAAAAAGTAATAATCTGATTTGGGCTTTAAAAAACTTCTCTAGCATTTTGATGAAAAATGGACTAGATGGGAACAATGTTGCAGAGTATTTTTTCACAAACTTTGAATCTTCTGAGCCTCCCAACAACTGTGATGCTGTATATTGCATTCATTATAAGAATAAGCAAATGGACTCAAAGAAGTTGATAATTTATAGAAGGTTATAGTAACTAAATGATAGATCTGAAACCAAATCCTGGCATTTTAAAATCTCTAGTCATGTTCTGTTATGAATGTTTTCAATTGTAAGTAACAAAATGCTACTAAATGTCAGCTTAAATAATTAAGGCACTTAATTATCATGCATGCTAATTCTGGAGGTGGGTGATTTCAGGTTCATCAGGTATATTGAAGCAGGGCATTGGATGATTTTCCTGTGATATTCTTGCCTTTTCTGTCATGGTAATAAAACAACTACCGCAGTTCAAAGTATCATGTATCATGAGAATATGTCACAAGCAGTAAGTAAAAGACAAGGTAGAGAAGAAACCTTTTTCCCCCACAACCTGGAGAACAAAGTTTTTACTATCAAGATTTTTTGGCAAGGCAGAGATGGGGGGTTTAGGGGTGGTGGCTATTGGGCCAACCACAATGTTTACCCTTTTAGGTTTTTTTTTTTTTGTTTTGTTTTAGTTGTAGATGGACATAATACCTTTATTTTATTTGTTTTTATTTTTATGTGGTGCCAGGTATCGAACCCACTTCTTCACACATGCTAGGCAAACGCTCTACCACTATGAGCTGCAACCAAGGCCCCCTTTTACTGCTTTCCTGTGGAAGTTTTTAGCCACCCCCCCACTCCCGACCAGCGGGAGAAGTGGGAAAAGCAAGCCCAGACCAGGATGAGCCAAGAAAGGTAAAGGTCAACTGGCCAAGTGGGAAAAGCAAGCCCAGACCAGGATGAGCCAAGAAAGGTAAAGGTCAACTGGCCGCCCACCCCAACCCTCCCTCCCAGGAGGACAATCAGATGTGCCAGGGAGAACAGTCAAAGCAGGATCTCCTTTAATAAGGAAGTACATACAGCTTATATACTGCACAGGAGCCAATCAGAATAAAGGTCAGAGGGGTGGAGCACACCCACCCCATAGTCTGTAAGGGAAGGCTGGRGCAGTCCAAGACGGCAGAAGAATCACGGCCCACAGCACCGCCTACTGGCTGATTGCCAGGAGCCGTCCCAGCCACTTGTGCAGCCTCAAGACCAGGAAGCAGGCAGCCACGCCCTACAACTGCCCACAGCCCTGCCTCCTGGCTGATTGCCAGGAGACAGGCTCCAAAGCTGGAAAGCAGGCAGCCAGGCAAATGCTCTACCACTGAGCTGCAACCACGGCCCCCTTTTAGTGTTTTTCTTCTTGTAGCATTATCTAAGCTGGTTTTTCATTTCTGCTAATAAGGAATTTGTTTTTTGTCTAGTAGGTTACGTGTAGGTCCCCAGGTTTTGTTTTTGTACTGGGGATTGAACCTAGGGGCACTTTGTCATTGAGTCACATTCCCAGCCTTTTTTATTTTTTTGAGACAAAGTCTCACTGAGTTGCTTAGGGCGGAAATTGCTAGGGTTGGCCTTGAATTTGGAATCCTCTTGTCTCAACCTCACAAATTACTGGGACTATAGGTATATACCACTGTGCCTGGCTTGCTGTTTTTTAATTTGACTTGGGTATTTTGTTTTTTGTTTTTGTGCTATGCTGGGGTTTGAACCCAGAGTACATACACTGAGCTACATTTCCAGCCCTTTTTTATATTTATTTTGAGATAAGGTTTTCCTAAATCCTCCTTGCTGGTTTTTAACTTGATTTTCCTGTCTCAGAAATTTCCAAGTAGCTAGAATTGCAGGTATGCACTACTACACTGGACTTTTTTTTTTTTTTAAATAACAAGTCTTGCTGTGTTTCCCAGACTGACGTCAAAAATTCTGAGCTGTGATCCTCCTGCCTCAGCCTCCCCAGTAGCTGTAACTGTAGGCATGTGCCACTGTGCCAGGCTAGTGTTCTTTGACTTCAGAACTTAATTTTGAAGTCCACCTCTGCCTTGCCAAAAGATTTTAGGTTGCAGGAATAATGTTTCTTCTCTACCTTGTCTTTTACTTCCTGCTAGTGACATAGTCCCATGATACATGGTAACTGGAATTGTGGCAGTTGTCTTATTATGAGAGAAGAGGCAAGAATATCACATGAAAACCAAAAGGCTTAATCCCAGTGGCTTGGGAGTTTGAGGCAGGAGGATTAAAAGTTCAAAGCCAGCCTCAGCAATTTAGTGAGGGCCTAAGCAATTTAGTGAGATCCTGTCTCAAAATAAAATCAAAGAGCTGGGGGTGTGGCTTAGTGATTAGGCACTTCAGGGTTCAATCCCTGGTACCATTTTTTTTTTTAACCTCTTTCCCTTCCTGCAGTATAACAGAAGTATATATCTCCTTTGTTTGTATTTTTTAATATTTGGGTAGAGGGAGAAGAAACTAAAAACAACTATAGTTATTTTCTCTGGGAAGAAAGAAAACACTATCCTAATTTAGTGATTGTAAATTTTTTTTTATTATGTTCTGTGGTACTTACCAGGCATATCTAATAGTGAAGCAAACTTTTTTTTTTTAAAGAGATAGTGGGAGAGAGAGAGAGAGAATTTTTTTTTAATATTTATTTTTTAGTTCTCGGCGGACACAACATCTTTGTGGTGCTGAGGATGCATGCCGGACGCATGCCAGGCGAGCGCGCTACCGCTTCAGCCACATCCCCAGCCCATGAAGCAAACTTTTTAAATTCAGTTAGAACACACACACACACACACACACACATTAATATATGTATGGCAGATTTGACAAAAGTGGCTTCTAGGTTTTTCTTTTTCATTTTTTCAATTATGAACATACTAAAAACACTGCAGAGAATTTGAGAAAAGTGGAGAAGTATAAAGGAGAAAGCAGTATGGCACCATTTATACTTGATAGTGCGTGATTATAATGTGCCTCGGCTGCAACTTTGTAGGTGTGAATAAAGTTAGGATGTGTGTATCTATCCTTAATAATACCATTTAATGTCTTTCTTTTTTGATACTAGCTAAAGCACTTTAGCTTCTTTTATTACACATCAAAATTGCATATATTTGTGGTATGAAATGATGTCATGAATGTTAAAATTTATATTAACATGATTTGTCCCTTTGTCTCTGAAGCGTCATATTCTCGAAAAGATAAAGACCAAAGGAAGCAGCAGGCAATGTGGCGAGTGCCCTCTGATTTAAAGATGTTAAAAAGACTCAAAACTCAAATGGCTGAAGTTCGATATATGAAAACTGATGTAAAGAATACACTTTCAGAAATAAAAACTAGCAGTGCTGCTTCTGGAGATATGCAGACGAACCTTTTTTCTGCTGACCAGGCAGCTCTGGCTGCTTGTGGCATTGAAAACTCTGGCAGATTACAGGATTTGGGAATGGAGCTCCTGGCAAAGTCATCAGTTGCTAGCTGTTACATACGAAATCGTAAGTAAAATGTTCCTTTCTTCGTATTATTTGAGAAACTGGAAGACTGATTATTTTCAGGATAATAATATGTAAACTTCTCTCTTCAAATTAATTAAGACAACAAATACATGCAGACTTTTTCCCCCATCCAAAATTGAATTCTCCATATTTTTTATTATATAATAGAGCTAATAGTTCTTGATTTCTTATTCTGTTTACCGATAAGGGACAAAATGTTAATTTCATGGATCTTGCATTCTAGTGATGGGAATAAGACATTAAGCTTTTTTTTTTTTTTTTTTTTTTTGAGTTAGGATAATTTGATTTGGTAAGATAATTTGATTGCTGTGAAGGAAACAACAGAGGATTGGGCCGTCATAAATGAGGAATGTGTTACTTTGATTAAGGTAGCCAGAGGAAATATTTGAGGGGGAAACATTTGAATTGAGACCTGAAGGTTTTGAGAGGGTGACAACCACTTAAACATCTGGGGGAAGGAGTTTTCTGGATAAACAGATCAGAAAATGCAAAATTATTGGCACAGGATTCACTTTGCATGTTGAAAGAGTTGAAGACCAATCTGGCTGAATAGGGTGCATAAAACAAGGGAGATTAGTAAGAAATTGAGTCAGAAAGTAGGCGAGATTTAAATAAGGTAGGGTCTTGTAAGACCTCAGTAAGGATTGTGAGTTTTATGTTGATTGGGGATTGAACACAGGGGTCTTTAACCACTTAGCCACATCCTCAGCGCTTTTTATTTGTTGAGATAGGATCTTGCTAAGTTGCTTAGAGTCTCACTAAATTGCTGAGGCTGTCCTTGAATTTGAGATCTTCTTGCTTTAGCTTCTTGGGTTGCTGGATTACAGGTGTGCAAAAAGTACAAAAAGGCAAAAAAAAAAAAAATTTTTTTTTTGAAAAAAATACCCAGTCTCACCTTGTATTCAAGGAATTGGCAGATTTTATCCAACAATGTACTGATATAAGGGGAAAAAAAATACTGCTTTTTGGATGGACTTAGGTGAAAGCCCTTTATTAACAAATTTTGCAAATATATCTCCCCATTGCCATTTTTCCTCCTGGTAATCATAAAGATGTAAAATTTTATTTTATTTGGAAGSCATTTTTGACTCCAGGCTTATAAAAGTAAGCCTACTTTCTTGTACTTTTTTTTTCTTATTTTATATTTAGGAAATGAGTTCATATATAATTAGTTTTACATATGGTGGTGTCCAAGTTAAATTTGATGATTATTTTTCCCCAAATGAATGGAATATGCATTCTGAAGAATCCATTCTCTTTTTTCCTTTTTTTTTTTTTTTGGTTTGAGGAGTGGGGTTCTTCAGGTACTTGAACCCAGAGATGGTTTACCACTGAGCTACATTCCCAGCCTGTTTTATTTTTTATTTTGAGACGAATCTTTTAAGTATCTGAGGCTGACCTTGCTACATTATTTAGGCTGGCCTCTGATTTTTGATCCTCTTTTCTCAGCCTCCTGAGCTGYGGGAATTATAGGCACATGCCACTCTACCTGGCTTAAAGAATCCCTTCTTTATAAACTCATTTTTAAAAAACCAAATTTCCATATTTACACACTTTTATTTTTGAGCTGATTAATAGAGGTTGAACCAAATGAAATTGCCAATGTGCAACTGTTTTTAAACCACAAAAACAGCAATTTGATATTGTTCAGCCTACCATTTATTGTGTCCTTTATTAGACACACATAGGCATGTGCCACCACTCCTGGCTCTGATTTTAATCCAATAATGTTTTAACAGTTTCCAAGTATTTGGGGATTATACTTTTGTTTTCTTCGTTGAGAAACGTATATTTTTTTCTTGTGAGGTCCATGGTTAATGTAAGTTAAGATTCTACACCATAAACAATAAAATAGGAATACTTTTGTTATAGAATTTCAAATAAATTAGTTAGAACTACAAAAGTACCCTGTTTATTTTTGGACAGTATAGACAGAAAAACTTCCTTTCATGGTAAAATTAAACCTTTCTCTGACTGACTAGGTAGTATATTTTGTGTTATTTGATCATATTCAAAAAATGTTTCTAAATRTCTTGGCAGCCACAAATAAGAAGAATAATTCACCCAAGCCAGCTCGGTCCAGTGTTGCAGGTAGTCTTTCACTTCGAAGAGCAGTGGACTCTGGGGAAAAYAGCCGCTCAAAGGGAGATTGTCAGACTTTGTCTGAAGGTAAATTTGGGGAGTTAAGAATATAATTTCATTGGTAGATATCGGTTATTGGAAGTTGATACTAGTATGTAACTTTGGACCTTGAAAGGCACCAAAAATGTTTAGGTGTATTTGAAGCTTTTTGATCTCACCACAGAACAGACCCTTAAGTAAATGTTATCATTTGACTGTATATTCTGAACTCCTTTTATTTAAGCACCTGGCATCAGAAAGACTTGATGTTTTTGTTTAGGAAATCTTGCTACATGTACATTTGAAAACTAATCTAAGAATTTCCATGTTTATTTGCCTTCTTTCTTTTTTGAAGGCTCCCCAGGAAGCTCTCAGTCTGGGAGCAGGCACAGTTCTCCTCGAGCCTTGACACATGGTGATATTCTGCCAAAAACCGAAGACCGGCAGTGTAAAACTTTAGATTCAGATGCAGTTGTGGTTGCAGTTTTCAATGGCTTACCCACTGTCGAGAAAAGAAGGAAAATGGTCACCTTGGGGTAAGTTAAGTTCTTTTGTTGTTTGGAACTTTAAGTCTGCCTCATAATGAACAAAATTAATTTCTTGGWTAGTTTTTTAATGGGCAAAAAAGTTATTTCATTAAAATCTAACTTTTAAATAATTATAGACCTTGCTGCTGCCATCTCCTTTTTTTTTTTAATGGGATGAAATAGGACCAGAAGTTCGAGTTAAATATGTTGGAACTTATTTTCACTGAAGTTAGGATAACAGTGATGTATAACTTGAATGAACTCTGGTGAGGGGTCTATGTATATATTTAAATCTATTCCACACCTTTCAAAGACATTTTTGATGGACTATATTATGCATCACAGGTGTATCTCATGTATAGAACAGAGCACTTCCAGCAATCTTATTTTAACACTGCTTTCCTACTTTAAGCTAAAGATAATTTAAGCTTTTTTACTTTTTTACTTTTACTTTCTACTTTAAGCTTTTTACTATCCTATGAAAGCATCCTCARAACTTATAGTTGAAATATCTCCAAAGGATATATGGTAATCAATACCTTTATTTCTCTATGAGGAAACCAAATTTCACATCCCATGTCAGTTAAACTTTGAGATGAGTCATAAATAACCATCTGCTGATCTATTTCTATATATATTAAATACATTTCTGAATTTAAATGATGGACTAATTCTATCTTGGAGCCTTTGAAAAGAATTTTGAGGTGGGCATGTTTCCCCACACCTATAACCCCATTCAACTCAAGAAGCTTACTTCTTCTTAGAAGTAAGTACTGGGATTAAACATAGACACTCTATCACTGAGCCCCATCTCCAGTCCCCCCACCCCCACTTTTAGTTTTTTTTTTCTTCTTCTTCTTCTTCTTCTTCTCCCTAGCCCTTTTTACTTTTTATTTTGAGGCAAGTTCTTGCTGAGTTGCCCAGGGCCTCAAAGTTGTGATTCTCTTGCCTCAGCCTTCTAAATAGCTGGCATTACATGGTACACCACTGTGCCTGGCTAGCTGGTAGTTTCATTTCTTTTAAGCTCACATTTCAGAAGTAGAAAGGTGTTTACTGGTGTTTTCCCTATTACCTACCTGTATATTCCTTTTAGATTAAAGCTGCAACTAGCTTTAATATATTGTTACAGAGGTATTTGTATCTGCTTTTAGTTATCAAGATTAAATGCACATGAACATAGTACCCCCCAAGTTTCCTACACAAATGCCTGCAGCTAGCTATAATTCAACTTTTTTAAAAATATTTTTTTAGTTATACGTGGATACAATACCTTTGTTTTTTTATTTTTATGTGGTGCTGAGGATCGAACCTAATGCCTTATATGTACGAGGCAAGCACTCTGCCACTGAGCCACAAACCCAGCCCTATAATTCACCTTTTACAGTGAATTTTATCTGCTGGTTTACATGGGTGCTCTTCAGCATTTTTCCCTCCTTGATTTAGAGTTGTGTAACAAATAGTTTAAATACTAATATTAAGTGATTCAAAATGAAAGGGGGGAAAAAAGTGAAAATTTTCTCATCTTTATCTCCCATCAGCCTAGTTTTCCAATTCCATGCCCACACACATCCCTGCTCTTCTTACTTTGTGTCTTCTCAGTTTTGATGTATATTTGAACAACTGTGACTCAGGTACAACTTTTTTATTACCTTATTTTCTCAGTACTGTCTCTAAACTATTTCCATATTAGTCAGAACATATTATTTAGAACTATTGTTTATATTTGTTTTTAATTGATTATAAATTTACACATAGTTGAAAGAAATAATAGAGACATTCTGCATATCTTATTCTGTTTCGTCAATAACATTTTGCAGAAGTTTCAATACAGTATCACAACTAGGAATTTACATTAATACAATTGAYCACCTCATAATCTTTCATTGTAAATCATTAATGAAATTTTACAAATAAAATTTGAAGTTTAGTATTCAACATTAGTGCATGTGCCCTATACTCTACTCGTTTGGGAGCTCAATTTCAGGATGAGAAGTAAATATAGATTATTGTTTCAGTTACTAGTTATGTGAAAATATCAAGTTGTTTTCTCCCTTCTTGAGGGCTAATGCTAAAGGAGGTCGCCTGGAAGGAATGCCCATGTCTGATTTGGAAAATAATTCTGAAACTGGGGAATTACAACCTATAATACCTGAAGGAGCTTCAGCTGCCCCTGATGAAGGTAAGGCATAATTAGGCAGAAAGCAGAAATACTGACTCTTTTGGTGGCTGTAGTGGTAACTGTGGTGGTAAGTAGTGGTTGGTTTAGTAAAAATGTTACTGAGATCTATGTGACCTTTTTGATCTGAACACAACATTCATTGTACCACTGATTTTGACTTACTAGGACATTAAGCACAGTGGAAGGCAAAATGGATAATTTACTAAATATAAGGATGTAACTGACTAAAAGAGTCATTTACAGGAGGAAAATCTACAGAGAGTTCATCTGTTCCATCAATAAATACAATGCCACACATTGAATTTTTGCTAGGTATGCAAGTATGAATTAGATATGTTCACAGTCTTATAAGAAACATGTGCCCTAAAGTAACTAATTAGAATAGTAAGTTTTAAATCTTTGTCTTTTGAAGTCAGTCTTGACTGATGTCTGTAGATTGCTTTGTCTTTTTTAGGGTGGGGTAGGGGATGGGAGTAATTGCTGGGGATTGAACCCAGGACCTATGCATTGTAGGTAAGTTCTCTACCAACTGAGCTACATCCCCAGCCTACTTTGCTTTTCTTATAGAAGCATTCCAAGCTCTAATTATTTTTTAAATATTTTTTTAAATTATAGATTTATTTTATTTATTTTATATATGCTGAGTATCAGACCCAGTACCTCATGTGTGCTAGGCAAGCGCTCTACCACTGAGCCACAACCCTAGCCCCAAGCTTTAATTATTTTTAAAATTCCTTATGTTCATCAGCCTCAACTCTGCCAGCTTATTCTGTCACACATTCTAATATTTCTTTTGCATCTTCTTCCAAGTTCATTATTCTTAATCTAAAAGTATAGAAGACATTTTGTTATTTTAGATAACAGAAGGTATGTGAAATAAGGCTATGTGTATTGCCTTTGCTATGTTTTTGTATGTTACCAGAAAAGAATGTCAGCTTTCTTAATATTTGGCATTGAATTTTTTTCATTTCTCAGTAGAAATGTCACCTTCTCCTTTGCACTCACTTGAATTTCAGTGATTGATGCGTTGTAGCTCAAAGCATATATACAGGTTCCAACTTCTGTGAGAGAATTGTAAGTGGTAGAACTCTCAGGTTTTTCAGTTAAAGAACATTAAATGTCCTGGTCTTCCTGTTTTATGTGGTGCTTTTTTCCTTCTTTCTTCCTTTCTTTCTTTTTTTTTTTTTTTTTTTTTTGTACTGGGAATTGAACCCCCAGGGGCGCTTCCCCAGCCCTTTTGAATTTTATTTTGACAAATGTAGAACAAGGTTACACTGACTTGCTTAGGGCAATGCTAAATTGCTGATGCTGGCCTTGAACTTGTGATTCTCCTGCCTCAGCCTGGAGAATCTCTGGGATTACAGATATGCATCATTGCACCCATTTTGTTTTCCCTCTTAGATGGTGCTCCTGCAGTGGACAGCAGTATTTCAGTAGAAGAGATTAAATGGAAAGGATTTGTGAATTGATGTGGTGATTGTTAAAACATTAAGAATATATTATGACTTATGATCTTTATAAAGAACCTGTGGAGATTAGTTGCTTTCCATGTGTTTATACACTGGTTATAAATTGTAGCATATTAAATTCTTTTACAGCATGTACTGGGATTATAAACTAATCTTTTTCATACATCATTTTATGAAATGCTTCTAATTTGCCTGACATTGTATTTGATGCTGATAGTAAAACAGTTCTGAATCTATTATCTAAATCAGAGTTCTTCTATCTCAGCATCATTGACATTTTGGATCTCATAATTCTTTTGTTATAGGAAGGCTATTTTTTGTGTTGTAGGATACTTTAGCAGCTTCTTCAGCTTTTAACCACTAGGTGCCAGTAGTACTTCTGTCCAGTTACAACCCAGACTGTCTAAAGAATTTACCAAGTATTCCTTGGGAGGCAAAATTGTCTTTATTCCAACTAGTTAAACTGAATAACTCAATTAGGGGTGATACTCCTTGAGTATCACTTGCCAGAATGTGCCACAGTTACTAATGAGATCAAGTTGTAATTCTCACACATGCTGGATGCGTGTGGTGGGGGATAGAGCAGGGAGAGCAATGAAAACCACTGGTTAAGTGTTGGAGAGACTAGCTAGTAGTCATTTATAATACAGAATAATGAGTGCTGTGATAAGGGTATATAGGGAGCTCAAAGAAGAGGTACGTTGCAATAATAATAATAAAAGAAGATAACATTTATTAAGTCCTTACTATGTTCCCAAGACTGTTCATGACTTTACCATTATTATCCTATGCTGTTCTCAGAATAGCTTTGCATGGTAGTTACTTTTATTATCCTGATTTTACAAGTAAATAAAGTGAAGCCTAGAGGTGCAACTTAAATTACCCAAAGTCAGAGAATTAGTCATTGAAAGAGGTGAAATTTAAACCTAGAGTCAGTGCTCATAACTTTCACCTCTCTACTGACCTAGTCCCTAGGTACCCTTGGAAAGCTCACCCAAAGGAATAAGTGAAAATTAGCCAAGTGAAAACTACCAAAAATGAGGACAGAGTAGTAGTAGAGTCGAGATCGTGAATAAATTATATATTCTTTGCCTTAGCTAGAATCTAGCCTTTGTCTTTGGTTCTTAAGCAAGAGGTGATGCAATAAAATTGTGGTTAGAAATTTTACTCTGGTTGCAGTATGGAGAATGGATTTTGTAGCTGGRAAAGGGGTGTGTGGAATTAGGGACAGGAAAACTTAAGCTTGTTAAATAATCTAGGTGAGAGACTACTTGAAGCTCTTTAATTTCAGCCTCCAACTCATAAACATTATCAGCATTTTTTTGTGTGTAAATAGATAGTTCGAATGGAAAATACAAAGCATTTGACATCAATTTCTTTTTCTTTCTTTCTTTCTTTTTTTTTTTTTTTTTTTAATTGGGTATTGAACCCATGAGCGTTTTACCCTGAACTACTTCCGCAGTCATTCTTCTTGTTCTTTATTTTGAGACAGGGCCTCACTAAATTGCTAAGGCTGGCCTTGATCTTCCAATTCTTCTGCCTCAACCTTGTGAGTCACTGAGATTACAAGCGTGTATCAGTGTACCTGGCTGTAGTTTTTTTTTTTTTTTTTTAATTGGGTATTGAACCCATGAGCGTTTTACCCTGAACTACTTCCGCAGTCATTCTTCTTGTTCTTTATTTTGAGACAGGGCCTCACTAAATTGCTAAGGCTGGCCTTGATCTTCCAATTCTTCTGCCTTAGCCTTCCGACTTGCTAGGATTATAGTCATGCACCACTTCCCCTTGGCATCCACTTTATTTCATATTTAAAGTGAATCTACTGCTTATCCAAAAGTAGAGACAGGTATATATAGGCCACATTTAGGATTGTGTTTAGGATGGCTGCATTTAGGATCTGCAGTACATTTTCCAAGTTGTTTTTTTTTTTTTAAAGCACCTGATTATTCAAATGGGATTTAGAGCTAAGTGCTTCCTCAATAACACGTTTTGTCTTCATTTAAGGAATGTGATAAAAAGCTCTAAGAACTCAATTAAGAGTTCTTAGAAAGCTCTCTGTAAATATGCAAATCAAAAGTGATATAGAACCAATAAAAATACTTTTAATGAAAACAAGTGATACAGAACTATACACCTTTGAAGTTCATTGGTATCTAAATAGCTTGTTTACCACTAGAGCCCCAGGATAGATAATAAGAAAACAACTAACTGATGAGGCTGGAAGAGGGGAGTACAGTAGACAAAAATAGCTTCATGAACAAATCTGCTTTGTTTGTAGAGGAGAGTAGGGCCTTGCTCACTGCTGTGGATATTATTCTGTCATCAGCAGGAGCTGGTTCTCAGGAAACCTTTATTTTTCACACCTAAAGTCTTGGTAGACAGTTGAGTGGGATTTTCTTATATCCATATTTAGGAAAAAAACAAGCTTTTTATTTGTGCCAAGTACATAGAGAAAATGTTCTGTGCCATATCACTGTGGGTTATTCACTTTCTTGAAAAGAAAGCTATCTGAAGAAACTTTAAAGTAAGACATTGTTTTATTACTGGCTAGGAATTTTGGACTACTAAAATAGTCTCTCAAGTGTCAGTAAAATGTAACACTTTTTCTTAGAAATGACAGCCATAAACAGGCCTTTTCCTTTCTAACTGGGACCATATGGGACAAGCTTGTTTTAGTTATCTTCTATTTAATGTTCTGATACTGAAAAGTCTCCCCCTCCCCAGTTGGTAATCTATAGAATTTTTATAAGTAGGCTAGTTTCTTTCCTGTTCTATGTAAAACTTGAGGCTATAAGTTCCTGCTGCAGTAGCACACATAGCTTTTCTTTAAGTCAGGGGTGTGCAAAACACTTAACCAGAGTGAAAAAGACTTGGCATACCACATAAAAATCTTGCTAGCAGCCTAGCTAAGAGAAATGAGTCACACAAAGTGTGATGGCTTGACTCTTGGGAGGATAACTGTTAGGATAATTTATTATATTTTAAACAAAAGTTACCAAAAAGTAAAGCAGCCAACTTAAATGATAATGAAAGCTAACTCTCTTGATTTAGAAAGAACTCTCCCAACAAGGAATCATGCATAACTGGTGGGGCAGTTTTGGGTTAGCTGCTCAATGTCATCAAGAATTCATGGGGTGTTTTTTCCATCTTTAGCTTTGCCAGTCTCACTTAGCTCCCCTCAGAGTGGCATCCCTGATCGAATCCAGTGACTCATTCATGTTAGGCAAGCGCTGTACCACTGGGCCACAWCCCTGGCCCCCCTGCCCTTTTATTCTTAAGAGCACAAAGATTTTTGTTTTTTCTTTGAAGATGGAGAGGATTTCAGTCATCTAGTCTTTGTCTTCTCAGTATTTAAGGGAGAAGTACTCCCCAAACTTGTCTTGAAAACAGAAGAGGACAAATTTCACCAGTAAGGTGGCCACGTGGGGCTTCTTCTTTGTTAGAAGTTTTTAAATCACAAACTCTATTTCTTTAATAGTTATTCAAGATTTATTTATTTTCTCTGAATGAGCTTTGATATTTTTGTGTATCAAAGAATTTATTTTATCAGTATTCCTGATTTCCTAAGCATGGTTGTTTATGTTTCCATTATTGTCCTTTAATATCCAGGAAAAAAACTGTTGCTTTTTTTTTTTTTTTTTCTTTCCCCCTTGTTGAGAGCCACAGCTGAAGGGGCCCCAGCAAACTTTCAGACTGCCAGCTGATGATTGGCTCACAGCTGCCCAGCAACTTCTAGCTCATTGGCTCCTCTGCGGTAATGCTCATTGGGCTGTTTCCCTGCCCTTTCAGTCTACGGAGCTGCTCATTGGGGGACTTTTTTTGGCTCCGCCCATGCGACCCAGCCAATCGGCCTCAAGAGCAGGAGGATTGTGGGAGGTGGAGAGGCTTGTGGTTTTGGGAGAGGCTTGTGGGAAGCCATGGTGGCAGTTGGGGGTTTTTCCTGAGGAGCCTTTGTTTGGCGGTGTGTGGTTCTAAAAATAAAGTTAGTTTCTTTTGACAAGTGGCTCCTGATTGTGCCCAGCCAGACTGTGGCACCCCCTTAATGAGTTTGCCTTAGAGGCTTTTCAGTTTTATTAGTATTTTTAATTTTATTGATTTTTTTTTTTTTAAAGAATGACCATGTTTCATTGTTTTTTTTTTTTCTTTCTTTTAATTACTTTGAATTTAATTTGTTCTTTTTCTAGATTTTTGTTTGTTTGGGTTTTTTAAAGTGGTGTCTGGGATTATATCAAGGCCTTGTGCATGCTAGGCAAGTTCTCCACTACTAGCTACTACATCGCCTTTTTCTAAAGTTCCTTATGCTGGAAGCTTGAGTCATTAAGTTAACACTGTTTCTTTTTTCCTTTCTTTTGATCCTAAGGATTGAACCCAGAAGTGCTTTACCATTGAGCTACATCCCCAGTCCTTTTTTTTTTTTTAGAGAGAGAGAGAGAATGAATTTTAATCTTTTATTTTTTAGTTTTCAGTGGGCACAACATCTTTGTATGTGGTGCTGAGGATCGAACCTGGGCCACACACATGCCAGGCGAGCACGCTACCGCTTGAGCCACATCTCCAGCCCCACATCCCTAGTCCTTTAATTTTTTTAAAAAGAAAGTTCTCAGTAAGTTGCTGAGGGGTCTAGTTAAGTTGCCCAGGTTGGCTTTGAACTTGTCATCCTCCTGTCTAGGCCTCCCTTGTCTCTGGGATTATAGGTGTGTGCTGCAACATTTAATCCTATGAATTCCCCTTAAGAACTGTGATAGGTACCTAGCACTAATTTTGATATTTTTATTTTCATTTAATTCAGAATGTTTTTCATGAATCCTTTAAGTTTTTTTCTGCCGTTTTTCTCTTCATGTCTATTTCTCTTTTGTTGTTTTTGCTATATCATTCTGATCAAGACAATTTGGAGCATTCCTTTTGATCCCTTTTAAAAGTCTTTTCTATACTTATTTTTCTTTTGGTTTCTCATTAATTTCTTCAATTCTGCAAGTTTATTAATCTTTTTTACTTTTGCTTAAATCATATATTAATAATTTTAGTTTTAATCTTTCATTTCTACAAAACATTTCATTCTATTTATTTRTTTGTTTGTTACTAGGGATTGAACCCAGAGGCACTTTAACCATTATTGAGTTACATCCTGAAACCTTTTTATTTTTTATTTTGAGAATAGGGGCTCACTAAGTTGGTTGCTGAGGCTRGCCTTAATCTTGGAATCCTCCTGAGTTCTTGGAATTTACGGCAGGTGTCACCAAGCCCAGGTCTTTTGAAAATCTGCCCCTTTAAAGTTAACTGGAATCATGTAGTCTCTTACAGGTTTTTGTTCTACTTAATGAAAAATTTACAGCATTGTCCTTCCRTATCTCCTGATTCTTGCTTCAGGTAGATTGTTAGCTTTAAACTTTTAACTTTGGAGCATTCTTTTTCAGACCCCCACCTCTACCCCCCAGAATTCTTATGATCTGTATTGTGGAAGCTTACCTTCAGAGAGTGTTTGATGTGTGTCAAGGGTGTTCTTGAGCATTTTTATCTTCCCTTAAAAGTCATCGTTAGATAATTCCAACACCTGTGTCATCTCACCTTGGTATTTGCTGATTTTCTTTGTTTTAGTTGATGCTGGGGATTGAACCCAGGGCCTTGTGTTTACGAACCATCAGAGCTTTATATACCCAGCCCACTTATTATCTTGTACTGATTTTTCATATGCTGAGTAATTTTGGATTGTGTCCTGGACTCTGGGGCTTGTTTGAATCTTCCAGTTTGTTGGTGAAATTTTGATTTCACCAATATGCCTATTCCTGTTTACTTCCGAGTCCTTAAATAGCTATGCCATGCATTTCGTCTAGATTTTAGTAATGCATTGAGTGAAATAGACAAGTTGGAATGTACCCACTCCATCTTATCTAGAACCTAACCTCCAGGGAAGATTTTGCTGTATTTAAATAACACTAGCTTCTGAATAATTTTATGTTAATTTCTTAAGATTTTTTACTTCAAGTTTAAATCCAAATCTAGTGGCTAGAGGCTAAGTTTTTAGAGTACATGCTTAGCAATTGCAAAGACCAGGGCTCAAAACTTAGCACCACCAAGAAATAAAAATAAAAAATCCCCAGCATAAATTGGGTTTGAATTCTAAGTCTTTTGCTCTCTTTGTAGAGCSTATCTTATACAGACTATTTCTTATCTGTTTTTTTGAATAAGAATTTTAGCTTCTGCTGGATGCAGTAGCATCTGCCTGTATACTCATTAATTTTGGTTTCTCATTAATTTCTTCAACTCTGCAAGTTCATTAATCTTTTTTTTTTTTATTTATTTTTACTGCCCAGCTACTGGGGAGTCTGTGAGGGAAGAGGATTATTTGAGGCCAACCTGGGCAACATAACCAGAATTTTATCTCTTTAAGAAAAAAAATTCCAAGCTGGAATTTTAGTCCCAATTGCAACTCCTTTCCTATGGTGAGTAGAGTTTTGGGTCCCACTCTCCTCCCCGGCAAAGGAATGTTAAAAATCTTTGCATTGGGCTCTCCAGGATAACTGTAGCATCTGACCCAGTATTATTCTTATCTTGTTTGTCATGCCTGTGAATTTACCTCCTGTGTTTTGGGTTTTATTTTTTGCTACTGGCGATTGAACCCATGGCACTTTACTACTAAGTTATGTCCCAGCCCTCTTTATTTTTATTTTGAGACAGGACTTCTCTAAATTGCTGAGTCTGGCTTTGAAGTTGGATCCTCCAGCCTTAGCCTCCCAAGTTACTGTATTTATAGATGTACACCACTGTGCCTGGCCCCTTTTGTCTTTTAAATGTGACTGTTTGTTAAAATAATGTTCTGTCTGTATTTTATCAAAGTATTTATAAAAATTTGTAGCAGACAAATTTTCAAGTTTTCTGATCACTATCTTGCTAAAATAAATACTTTCTATAGGATTTTTCTTTTAAAGATCAACTGGTTGTGGGTGATTTTCCAAAGAAATTAAAATCTGCTCTTGCATGTTTATTACAGTACTTTTCACAATATCTAATTATGAATTCAACCTGGGTGCTCATGAATGAATGTATAAAAAAAAGTGACATGTATACATAGTATAATATCAGCCATAGAAAAGAATGAAATTCCCTGCCATTTGCAGCAACATGGATGGAACTAGAGGACCTTACATTAAGTGAAATAAATTAGGCATAGACAAATAGCACATGATCTTACTTATATGTGGAAAGTAAAAAGTTGATCTCAAAGTAGAGAATAAAATAGAGGTAACCAAAGCTTGAGAAGAATATAGAGAAGGCAGAAGGATGGAGAGAGTATAGTTAATGGGTAATGGGGTGTAGTTGGGCAGGAGAAATAACTTCTAATGTGTTATAGTAGTAGGAGAACTATAGTTGACAATAATTACTTAATATTTTAAAGTAGCTAATGAAGAATATTTTTAATGTTCCCAACACAAAGAATGATATGTTTCTATGGTAGTAGATATGCCTGCTACGCAGATCTGATCATTACACATTGTATACATGTATTGGAATATCAGTGTACCYTATAAATACATATAATTACTATGTCAATTAAAATATATATGTATTAAATATCCAAAAACTAAATCAACTGATTCATACAAAAACAAAACTAGAGGCCCAAATAGGATAGAAACTAACTTATGACTAGAATTACTGGAAATTTCTATATACATATACTATGTATGTTTATAGCATGTGGTTTTTTTGTTTTGTTTTTGTACTGTTGATTGAACCAAGGGGCACCTAACCACTAAGCCACAGCCCCAGCCCTTTTTATATTTTRAAAACAGAGTCTCACTAACTTGCTTAGGGTCTCACTGAGTTGCCGAGATTGGCTTTGAATTTTCAATCCTCTAGCCTCAGCCTCTTGAGCTGCTGGGATTATAGGCCATGTGTTTTATTATGTTTATTAGTATAGAGACTATGTTTACAGTGAATGAGGATTTTAAAAGTTCCTCTTTTTTCTCTTATGATGTGTTAGAAAAAAAGTGATTTGGAAAAGGTATTCTCAGTATAATTAGTACTGGTTCCGAATAACAACTTTCAAGGACTGTGGTACTCAATTTTAAACTTAGAGAACAAAAGTAACAGCACTGCTCTAAAAAAATTTAAAGAGAATTGAACTTTCTGTGGTTACTTTTTTGGTTTTGCTGGTGTGGTTTCTTCAATTTTTGGCATTTATTGTAAAATTCAGTAGGAATCTCAGCTTAATGGMTAAGGAACTTTTCCTCTTTTACTTATAGTGGTTTTTTTCAGAAATATGTTGTCTCCTTCTTTCCTACCAGGAATTAGTAGTGACAGTGACATTGAATGTGACACTGAGAATGAAGAGCAGGAAGAGCACAGCAGCATGGGCGGATTTAACGACTCTTTCATGGCACAGCCCCCAGATGAAGGTGCAACATATAATGTCATCTTACACAGATTAATAAAACCATTGGTGATGATGTTTTTTCTTCTGCTGCTATTGCTTCTACTTACTCTGCTTCTTTTCTTTTTGTCTTTTTTTGTTTTGTTTTTAACATTTTTACATTTTTTGGTAAACTATATGGTATTAGAAAAAAATTGGAGGGTAATGTTTGGCTTGATTAGATAGATACCTGATGAGTGTCACTTCTTTGGAGGAGAGAGAYCACAGCCTGCTTTTGTATAGCTTATTTACCTAAGAATGGCCTTAAATTATACAGAGGTGTAAAAACAATGAAACAAAGAAGAATTTTCAACAGAGACCATTTGTGGCTTGTAGTACATAAATATTTACTATTTGCCACCTTGTTTTCCAACCTCTGGGGAAGTTTTAGATGTTTGATCCCCTCCCCCGATTTTCTTTTTCTTTTTTTTTTTTTTTTTCAAGCCAACTATGACTTTTTAAATAGCTTTGATTTCTTAGAAATGCATTCAAATTATGGAATCATTCGTTTTTCTTTTAAATCTTTTTTAAAATTAATTTATTTTAATTAGGTATATATGACAACAGAATGTGTTTTGATTCATTGTACACAACTGCAGCACAACTTTTCATTTCTCTGATCCTACACCATGTAGTGTTGYACCATATGTGCAGTCATAAATGTACCTAGAATCATTTTTTATTCCTTTCTCTCCCTTCTTTCTTGTTTAAGTGTTGGTATCTTTAGGGGAGAAACACCAAGAGAAACTTGCGTAAATATGTATATTTGTATTTTATAAACTTCAATTTTATGGCAACCTCATATTCTATCATATAGAAGTACAGGTAAAATAATGGAATGTGTTTTAGAAAATTATAGAAATACTGGTTTAAAGTCATCCAGAAATCTTAATAATCAACCTGAGCATTGCTATGTAAGATTTCCTGAAATGACAACATTGTCAGGCTTATGTGCATTGTTAACTTTGTATCTTACATATTTCCCTAGTGTTCTAGTATCTTTTTTCAATATAGAGCCAAGTATTGAATGATTTGTAAGTTTTAAGGCAATTTCTTCTGCTTCTAAGACAAGCACTCAGATTTTGGGCAAATTGAGTCCTGGTGGGATTCTCAGTAATGTTTGCATGTGTAATTTAGTTGGCTTTGAAATACATTTTGTTTATAGCACCTTGAGTCTGGAAAGTATACTTCATCATTGTTTCTTGTTTCTTTCTCCAACTGTTCCCACCGGTCTGGGAGGACAAAGTGAGGCAGTGCCTTTCATCTTCTAACTATGGGTGTCTATTACACATTTGGGGTTTTCTCCTTTGTTTTTCCTTTGCATTTGCTTGTATCTGACTCAAATCACATATTCTCTGAAGATTTGTTTACAGCTGAGCACCTCTTTCTTCACTAACACATTTGGTAAGATCATTTAAAGAGTTAGGAAAGAAAATACACTTTGTTGTTATATCTGTTTTTAATTTAAAATTTTTTCTTTTAATTTTTCTTAGATACACACTCCAGTTTTCCTGATGGTGAACAAGCAGACCCTGAAAATCTTCACTTCAGTACTGATGAAAACAGTGGAAGGTAATTGCCAGATGAAGAGAATTGACTTATAAGCTACCTTGACCCTGAATCTTGTTGTAGTTGGTGCTCAAATTTGTCATCAACCAGATAATCAGATTTAGGTCTTTTTTTTCCCGTCATCTCTACCTGAAAGAATAATTCAGGAGCTGTTAGAAAGTAGCACGATTCTAGTAAAGAAAGTAGAACATGGGAAAAAATTAATAGTGTGAGCAGAGTTCTTCCTAATGTAATAACAGTGTTGTCCTCAATTAATTTAGAAAATTAGTACATCCACAAAAGGTAGAAGACCAGTTAACTGCCAGAAAATGTACTAGAGGCAGTGCATGCACTCAGTAACCTGTTCATCCTTGGTGCTCTGTCTTTGGCTAAACACCTGTTGTGTTTAAATGACTATCTTTATATTTCAGGTTTTAATCACAGTTTGTTTCATTAGGACCTATAGATTAGTGAATGGAAAATTTACCTATAAATAGATTCTGTCCTATAGACACTTTTTGTGAATGACTGAAGTAACACTAGACTGGATCTCCTCTTTGGAGTATGTTGACAGACTAAAGTTTGTTTATCTTTTCTTTCTTGTTTAAGTGTTGTTACCTGTTTAACAGCACATCTTTCTGTTGTGTGACTTTGCATATGTATTTAAAATKAACTTAGTTAATATGGATTGGTTATGTTCCTGGTCATGTGAAAGGTCATTGAAAACTATTTCATTTTTTCTGCCTCATAAAATATAGTGCAACAAATATTTTTAAACTCAATTTTCATTGGATATTGCTTCAGAATCAATAAATTTAAATATACATACTGCATAGTAGGTTACATCAAAGTGAAGTTGATATCAGATTAACTTACATACTCATAATTACCCCCAAAATAATTGCCAAACTTTGCCACTGTGCTTCTGAATTTGTGTTTGAGCTGCTATATATTCATGAAAATTACACTGAATTGACCAAGACTGTTGAAAAAGCATGAATAACTATATGTACATGTAAAAGACATCTCATCAGCTTGTTTTACTTAATATTATTCATTTTTCCATATCTAATATCTTGATGAATGCTATGACTTATAGTTTACTTCTTTTCAGAATAGTTTGCACTTTTTGTTAATAAAATTAACTTGAGAAAATGAGGCTCTGCAGTTTATTAAAAGTGGGACCAGATACCCGCTTTTCTATTTCTCTTGCTGGTAGCTGTTTAATAATGTAGACAAGATCATTTTTTGAACAGGGGTGATGGGCAGCTTCTCTTTTAGTTGTTCCATAATTGTAATAAACCTGGAAGACCAAAAGCTTTTTTCATGGATAGCTTTTAATTCAGATTAGTTAGCTTTTAGTAGGGGAGTCTTTGGAAGATATAATTCTTCTCTTCGTTCCTAGCCACTTTACATACCAACTCTGTTTCCAGTTCTTTCTTTTTTAGACAAGGTGTCTCTGTTGTTTGCCAGGTTGGCCTTGAACTCCTGGGCTCCAATAATCCTCCTTTCTCGGCCTTCCAAGTAGCTGGAACTACAGGTGTGTGCAGTACCCAACTTTGTTCCCAGTTCTTTAATGATGCCAGGAACACTGTTTCCCTATTCATTGATGCAGCATGCCTGCGTTGGCCATGCTAGATACTAGGTAGCAGTGAGAATGGGCAGAGGGACAGAAGAATCCCTCACTCTGCTCTGATTGTCCTACCTTCCTGCACCACTGCCCCCGCCCCCTGCCCCCGTACTGGGGCTAAGCCACATTCCCAGCCTTTTTTTTATATTTTATTTAGAGACAGGGTGTTATTGCTTAGGGCCTTGCTAAGCTACTCAGGCTGGCTTTGAACTCGAGATCCTTTTGCCGCAGCCTCCTGAGCCTCTGGGATTACAGGTGTGCATGACCATGCCCAGCTTCTGCACCACATAGTGTATCCTAATGGCCTTCACTTTTTTTTTTTTTTTTTAACAGCTTTTGCTGAAGGGCATTTCTTTCCACTGTTACCTTGCTTCAGTATTTAGTGTSTTTATCTTAATTCCTAGAAAACCTCTGCTGAATAAGGGTTTTCTCTTAGGCCTAAAGAGGTAAGAGTAATGCTTATATTGTGCATGTACATATCATTTCTGGACAACTTTGACCACCTGGGTCATTGAATCCTTCAGTAACCTTTGAGATGGATGAGTTGTGTCTTGTCCCCCTTTGGCAGAAGAACCTGAGGTTCCCGGGAGGTCGTATGATGCTCTTAAGGTTCAACACAAGAATGGGATGAACTGTTGCTCTAGTGCTTTTTCCAGTTCATCACACTTAAATCAAGCCCAACATTTTGATAACAAGTAACTAAAAATCTAAAGATTGTCCTATTTTTAAAGTTTATTTTGAGATGTGCCTTTTAGTCCAGCTTTTGCTTTTGTTAATGCCTTTGTATAACTGTAGAACAGTGATCCAGCTGGGCTGGGGATATAGTTCCAGTGGTAGAGTATTTGCCTAGTGTGTGAAAGGCCCTTGGGTTCGATCCTTTTTTTTGATCTTTGAATTAGGATCCAACACTATGATTATTTCCATAGCTCAGCTTGTTACAGTTTTGGTCACTGGAAACTCTCTTAGGTTTTTAATGTCCTTGTGATATGTCCCCTTTGGTCTGTTCTTTTTTTTTTTTTTTTTTTTTTCCTTACTACTTGAGGAACCCTGGCTCCTTTTCTTAGAGAATGATATTTAGAAACGAAGATGTGGATGCTAATGTGCTTATTGATACTAGGGCTTCACTGCTTCTAGTCCCTCTCAGTGGATAGAATAGGAAATGTGTGTGTGTGTGTGTGCGTGCGCGCGCGTGCACGTGCTGAGTCATGCAGATTCACACATTTATATGTATTACTGGATCTATGTGTATAAATCTTTGGGGGGTTTTGTTTTAAGGAAAACACCACCAGTCCAGCTCCACAGGGCTCATTCTAGACCTCCCTCTTACTTATAATGTGTAACAGTGAGAAGCCTGGCTCTCATTAGCTATAGTACGTTAACTTAATTTTTTAACCCTAATGCACAAGTCAGTCAGTTTTCTTAACATATCCCCTTGGGAGGGGAAAAAAAATTACCATCTAGAGTTTGGTGCTTGTTTCTGTGTTTTATTTGGAATAGGAATTTCAGGCTCAGCTCGATCTAGGCTCAAGCAATTCTTCTCAGACTCCCAAGTAGCTGGAACTGTAATTTATGTGCCACTGCACCTGGCTAGTGTATAGTTCTTTTAGTCTCTCAAGATCATGTCACAATACTCTTGCAAAGTTTTTTAGGTCCTTAGATTCAAAACTACATTGGTTCCTTTCTTTCCTCTTTGCTGTGATTCTGGTTCATTTGTGATACAGTTAGATTCATCATTATAGTCTGCTTTCTTTCCTCCCACACACATCCTGGTTGATTTTTTTTAATTTACATATTTTAAAATTCAATCTTTTTGGTATACAGCTCTGTGGGTTTTGACAAATGTCATGTATCCACCACCAGTGCTACACAGAACATTTTCCATCCACCCTAAAAATTCACTTGTGATAGCCCTTTGTACATATACATCTCCTTCCCAAACTCCTTGTTATCACTGATTTGTTCTCTGTCTTTAATTTTCCCTTTGCCATAGAGTCATATAAATGAAATCATGCAACATGTAGCCTTTTACTTGGGAAAATGCATTTTTTAATCCATATTGTGTGAATCAGTATTTCTTTCCTTTTTTTATTGCCCAGTAGTAGTCTATTATATAATGGAATTTGCCCACTGAAAGACTTTTAGGTTATTTGCAGTTTGGCTGTTTGTGAACCTTATACACATTTGCATATATATTTTTATGTAAGTTTAAGTATTCTCTATAATTTTATATGCCTACTGGTGGGAGTTCCAATTGTATTCCCCACACACAAACACTTGGAATTTTTGTCATTTTAGGCATTTCTTTCTTTCTTTTTTTTTTTCCTTTTTCCTGGTACTGGAGATTGAACCAAGGGCCTAGTGCATGATAGGCCAGCAAACTACATCCCCATCCATTTTTATTTTGTGACAGGGTCTCACTACATTGCCCAGGCAGTCCTGAAACTTGGCAATCCTTCTGCCTCAGCCTCCTGAGTAGCTAGGATTACAGGCAAGTGCTGCCATACCTGGCTGTTTTAGCCATTCTAATGGGTGCCTAGTGGCATTTGTTATATTCCTAATATCTTGCTGAGGATTTTTGCATCTATATTTATGAAGGATATTGGTCCATAGTTTTATTGCTCTTCATCTGATTTTACAACCATAGAGTAATGCTGAACACATAAAATGAATCTCCTTTTTCCTGGAAAAAAAAAAAAACATGTAGAATTGGTTGTGTATATTATTATTATTATTAAATATTTTTAAGTTATAGATGGACACAATAACTTTATTTATTTTTATGTGGTGCTGAGGATTGAACTCAGTGCCTCACATGTGCTAGGCAAGTGCTGTACCACTGAGCTATAACCCCAGCCCAAGATTTTATTCTTTAATTGGTAAAATTTACCAGTGTGATCATCTGAAAGGAGCTTTCTTTTTCTTAGATGTGGTTTTTTTTTTTTAGGGGGTGGCGGGTAATACCACGGATTGAACTCAGGGGCACTCAACCACTGTGCCATATCCCCAGCCCTATTTTGTATTTTATTTGGAGACAGGGTCTCACTGAGTTGCTTAGCACCTCGCTTTTGCTGAGGCTGGCTTTGAACTCGAAGTCCTCTTGTCTCAGCCTCCTGATCCCTGGGATTACAGGTGTGTACCCTKCAGTTGTGGGGATTTTAGTATTTATCTAAGCTTCTTGGATCTATGGTTTCATGTGTGTCATTAATTATGCGTATGTCACACTGATGTTTGTACAGCTCCTGTGTACTTGTTCTGTTCTGGGTTTATTTTGTTCAGGCATTTCCTTCACTCTTAATGTGTTGTATGTCAGTGAGGGTACTTTTTGTTGACTTACTTCAGGTTTACTAGTTCTCCACAGAATTTACTGATGAGCCAATCAGATGTATTCATCATTACAGTTATGGTGGAGTTTTTGTTTTTAACATTTCTATTTAATTATAATTTCCATCTCTTTGCTGACATCACACACATAATCTTACATGTTGGCCACTGCTCTCCTTAACATTAATCAAATTTAAGTAAAATTCTTGCTCGAGCTAGGGGTATAGCTCAGAACTGGAGCATTGCCTAGCATGTGCAAGGCCCTGGGTTTGCTTCCTAGCACTGGCCTTAAAAACAAAAACAAACTCGGTTCCAAAATGCCTGTTATATTTGTCTGGTTTCTAATGATTGCTTCATCTCTTCCAAGTGCAATTTTTCCTTGCCTTTTCACATGCCTCAGTGTATTTTGTTAAAAGCAATCCATGTTAAACAAGATTAGATGCTTTGTGGATATTTATGACTGAAAGTGAGCAGGCCTTTTCTGTTGCTTAGACCTTCATTGCAGAGATTATCTAGTTAGGAGTTTGGCTCAAGGCTTGCTGTTGCTATGATTGACCAAGTGATTATTTCAGGTTCCTATTGCAATATCTGGTTTTGCTGATGGGGGTTGAATTGGCAGGGCAGTCTCTCCCCTAAGCATGTAACTTCTATTTGTACCCTTACAGAGGGTCTGCTTTTGTTGGGGGCTATAAGGTTCAAGTCTAGCACTTTGCATATGTTAAGCACATGCTTTACTACTGAGCTAAACCTCTAGCTCCTTTATGCTTCTGGTGATCTCTCATCCTTCTACCAGAAATATTGTGCTGTTATTTGAAGACTGACTGGGGCTGACATTCTCAGATTAAGCTGCAGTTTTAGACACTAGGTTTGGACCGACAGGGCCTTTTCAGTTTACTTGCCCCTTCCCAGGTAGTTGTAGGCCCAGTGACATTCCTGTCCCTACCCTATTGCCTTCCCTCACCTCCAGGAACTAGCCACCAGTGCCCTAAGTGAAGCAGTATTTCCTCCTCCAAAAGAAGAGCACTTCTGTTTCATAGAGGAGATAGGGGGACAGATCTGAACCTTTCCACAAGGTTGTTGTATACCTCTTTTGGGTCTGCACCACAGTTAACTCTTATTAGGGCTCTTTC